TTGTGCGATATCACTGGAGGAAAGTGAAATAAACTTGTTTAAAGTGCAAAACCAAATTTCATACTGAATAGAATAAAAATTTCGGAAAATTTCGGAAAATTTCGAAAAATTATTTTACTCCATTAAATTGTCAATCGATATCTTACTTTGAGTTTCGCAATAAAATTAATACTTTTTATTTAAACGACGTCAAAATGTATAAAATTTCAAAAGCTCTGTTAAAACGATATGAATCGAATAAAATAAAATCGATGAAATTTATCCAACCAAACTCAAAACTTTTGAAAGAAATTTATACATTGATAGACTTTTAGGATAAAGTTTTTGAAATTTACAATCTTCGGTTGGTAGTTTCTTAAAAAAATAAAACTTCGCTTCATCTGAATATCAATTTAAAGCTATTAATTTATAAAATAAATTTTTACCGGCGTTAAGATGATCCATGATTTTGTAAAATCGCTAAAATATTTCTGAAAGCAAAAGTCAAGCCAAATTTAGTTACTAATTCGTACACTTTTCGCACACAATTCATAAATAGCTGGAAATTTATTGAAAAATGCTCCAAAATAGATACAATGGTTGGATAAACCTTGTCGCAAATTATTTCCGAATACTTTGTCAAAATTATCTACTTATGGCACTTTGGAAGTAAAATTTCATAAAATTTCAATACATTTATAAAAATGAGATACAGAAGCCAAGGTGTTTTTTATTACTTATTGGCCAACTCAAAATTAGCATCTGCTATTTATTTCGAATTTTACCAATTATCCTGAAATTCTAAACTGGAATCAAATCATCACGTGAAGTACGATTTTGAAAAATTGCTGAAATTTACTAACCAAATAAGAAATTTCAGAAATCGTACCATTCACCCGAAATTATTCGTATCGATCGTATCTACAACGTATCATTAAATTATGAATTTTCATAAAATTCTGAACTGGCATTAAACCATTGTACAAATTACATTTTTTTCCGAATAAAATACTAATTATTAAGGGGTGAAAGCCCTTTATAAGATCGTTATGTCCGTCTGTCTGTCCGTCCGTCCGTCTGTCTGTCCGTAGCTCCGATAACTTTTGAACGAAAAGACATAGACACTTGAAATTTTGAACGTAAACTCCTAACGTCAATGGACAGGACGAGTTCGAAGATGGACACTGTGACATCGTCACCTGTGACGATGACGTCGTCACAGTGACGAAAAGTGACGAAAAAGTGTCACTTGTCAGTTTTGACATGTGACACGTCATTTTTAACTATTTTTCAATGTCAAATTCAATGGTGACCTCCATTTTGACCTCAGAGGTCATGTAAAGGTCATAGGACATATCTATTTCAATTTCAACTGAAATTTAACCCCGAATTCAATGGTGACCTCCATTTTGACCTCAGAGGTCATATAAAGGTCACATAAGGGTTATCAACTGTTAAATTTGACACAAATAAGACACAAAAGTCGAAAACACGTCAGAAGTGTCAATCTTAACAAATTTTCGAACAATTTGATATTCACATTGACGTATGACACTCCTTTCACCCCTTGGTTACATGCGTTGTAACGGTTTATTTTTAGGGCAATTATTATTATGTAGGACTTTTTTTTTAATTTTCAACTGTGATAATCATACTTTCAAGCCATACAAGGGTGCCATACAAGGGTGTAAATTCTGGGAGTTTCACACCGTCATTTCTTTGCTAAATTGTAATTTCTAATATTATTGGTGAAAGTGAGATAACTGGTTTAAAATTCCAAATCAAATTTATAAACAAATCTATTAAAAATTCATGAAAATTTCGATGGAACAACAGGAAATCTTAATTTTCAATTTTGCAATAAAATAAATACTGTTTATTGTAAACGACGTAGAAATGTGTCAAATTTCAAAGCTCTGTTAATAAAATGATGCGAATTTAACTGTGCGGTAATTTAAAAATTAATTTTGCAATGTATTAATAACAAACTCCAGAGTTTGAACTGTGATAATCACACTTTGTGATTTAGTGTGACTTCTGTGATTTTCACACCCTGTGATTTTTTGGCCAATGGCGAATTCTGCAATATTACTAGGGGAAAGTGCTATAACCGGTTTAAAATATGTACATTCTAGAACAAAACCAACTTGATATTTTAATTAAGCACGAAATTCTGACAATTTTTCTATCCGACTTGAGCCGATTAGGACAAAGTTCATTTATCGTTTGATTTGTAAATTTGTTAAAAATGAAAGTTGATCAAAAGAAATACTTCGAGTAGTCGTGTACGAAAATTCCCAGAATTTTGTGCTGAATCCGAATATCAAGCTAATCCTAATCTAAAACGGTTCTTCTATTTTGGCACGCAATCACAGATCTAAACTATATAAAGCAGGCGAGTGTATCGCTGCTGGGTCGGTGGCTTATTTGAGAAGTTAGCCTCTCCTTTTCTCTCTCCACTCTGCAGAGAGAAGAGGAGAGGCTAACTTCACTAATGTTGGAGGAACGGGCTTATCGACGGGCTTATTTTGCACGTCGATCGACGGGCTTCCCATAATTCACATATTTCACAGAAATCATATAAAATAACATTATCTTGTGATTTTCCAAAATCTGCCAATATTTGTAATCTCTCCTATCTGGAATTATCTTGTTCTATGAGTACTTTCAAGAAAATCTTGTATATTTTATGGTGACATTTTTTGAAGTGCACTTCTGTGTGTAAGTAGCATGCATGTAAATTCCTCCAAAAAGGAACGCTATCCTCTTATAAATGTAGGGGAACCACTTTCTCTCATCATTTAAATAGGCAAAAATTAAGAAATTAATTTTTAATTTGTTTAATATTTCCATTTTTAAGGAAAATTCGCGTTTCTGAAATTTGTCAATTTTTTGACAGTGTGGTAAAATCAAAATCAGAATACTTCTCCATTTCAGATTATAAAAGTAAAGCATAACCTTAACGTCACAATTTGTATTTAACTAGTATCAAATCAGCTAAATTAGAAGTTAGATTCGTTGCAGTGAAATAATTTCATGTAGTACAAAAAGAAAAATTTATCAAAATGTGTGTAAATTTACAAACTGTGAAATTTTTTTAGCACTCCAGCCAAATTTGTGACACATTTTCTCATTACATTACAAAATCTAAGTTTAACGATGCAATTTGTATTGATTTGAACTCAACTGCCAAAAACCGGAATTAGGTGTAGTATGTAATTTCGACAAAAGTTTCAAAACCTGCATAAATTTAAAAACCTTACAAATTTTACATCTCATTTAAACATTGGTTCGTCCCTTGAAGAGACAAATTATGTGTACAAAGTTACAAAACAACTTGGTGTCTCAATTTCCTAAATAATTTCTAAGAGTGCAGCCTCGAATTTTTTAGCGTAACGAGGTGAAAGTAAATGATGCATGACGACAGGAAATCATGGTTCGACTTTCGCCACATTTTACTATTCCATTTTATCACGAGTTACACAATCCTACGTTAATCCACTGACTGATAAAATAAGCATTCCCCTCAGGTTCTCCAAGAATTCAATCAGAAACTGTCATCATTTCGTCCCGATTAAAAAAAAGAGCAACAAAATATCAAAGTTTGTTACATCGAAAATTTCAACAGAGATTGAAATCCTGATGAAAGTTTAAACTAAAAAATTGCAAAAATTTCTTGCAAGCAGGAAAGGAAATTATTTAATGATTTCACATTATTCACATAAAAGTTTTTCCATTGGAAATTTTGCCATCGACACGACAGTACCTACACATTTGGTTTATATCCTAATTTACGATTAAATTTTTAATAGGGTTCAGAATCTCGCAATTTTTAGGAAACTTAAATTTTTAATAGGGTTCAGAATCTCGCAATTTTTAGGAAACTTAAAAAAGAAAAATCTGCATGAAAGAAAAATCGATTAGTATAGAAATTCTTTTTAAATGACAATAATGTCCCAAAAACACAATTTTTGAAAAAATAAAAAGCATCACCAACTACCGATCGACATTTCATCGACGATTTATTACATAACAATCCTTCGAAATCCACATTTTTTCAAGGGGACGATAATAATCCAAAGTTTTTAGGAAATATACAACTTCAAAATTATCTAAATCAAATGCATATTAATATAAAAATCAAGAAGCATAGGTCCTCAATAAAAGTGAATTTCATTTTTTTAAATTATGAAATTTATCCAATTCCCGATTCATATAAAATAAAATAAAATATGAGATTAAAAATTTCTCATAAAAATTAGTAAGAAGTAAAAAATATTAAATTTTCCCAAAAAATTAATCAAAAATAGTCATCATTTCGTCCCGATTAAACAGAGCAACAAAATATCGAAAATTCAAGAAATTTAAATCCTGACGAAATTTTAAACTAAAGAATGGCAAGGTAAAAGGGAAACAATTTTACAAAGATTTTACATGACAGTTTTTCTATTGGAAATTTTTCTACGGCTGGGATGGGACTATGGGAGGATAGGATCTACATATTTTTAATATCCGAATATACGATTAAATCCTGAATAGGCATCAGAATCTGACGTACAAAATTAGTTAAATTACGTAAGAAATGTGCAAAATAATAAAAATCTATATGAAATAAAAATCAATTAGTATGGAAATTTTTTACAAATGACAATAATTTTTCGAAAAATAATTTCTTCAAAAAAAAACATCACGAACTTCCGATCGACATTTCATCAATAATTTTTGACATGTACAATCCTTCAATATTCTACATTTTTTCAAGAGGAATCAATAGTCTAAAATTTTTAGGAACACAAAACTTCAAAATTAAATAAAATGCATAAATGTAAAATAATGCATAATGTAGAAATCAAGAAGTATATTTAGGTCCTTAATCAAAATTAAATGTATGAAATTAATCCAATTTCATATAAAATTAATAAAGAGGGATGAACAAATAGAAACAGAGATGACTAAATTTTTTATACAAAAATGTAGCAGTATGCAAAAATAAAATCTTCACGTTTGACACTGTTTTCTTCGTACCAATTTTTATCAATTCAGAGATGAGAGTAAATTATTCTTTACTCCAAATTTTATTGCGATCAAATTTGTTATACATGCAAAATATAGGACGACAAAAAATAATTAATAGGAAAATCAGATCGACTCGATCACATAGCACAATTAACTTAATCAACCTAAGTAAATACTTAAACCCTTGTGCAAATAATACAAAATAGCTCGTTCAGATAGCACACCTGAATCATCAACTTAATTGACCTTAATTGGCAAGTAAATACTTGTGCAAAAAATAGATAATACATACAAAAAAATCACAAAAAATCACAATTCTTCCTTCAAATCGACTAGAGGATTTGTCATGCACAAAATTATTGGCACCGAAAAAACTTATTCACACAGTACTTCAAAAACCCGAACTTCACAAAGATTACAAACTAATTTGGCGTAATCAAAAATAAGGAATAAATAATTCGTCGTTGTCATTTTCCAGTGTTTGATTTGTCTTGTCTACAAGTTTCTGATGGCGGGTGGGAGGTCGTTAAAATATGAGTGCGCCATCGCCTCTTCGGAGGACAAGCGATGGTTGGGATTGCAGTTGAGGAGACGTTGAAGAAGGTCACGACCTTTTCCCCCAAGTTTGGGGACGACCTGGGCAATCGAGGCGGTGGGATGGTAGACGGGGAAAGGTTTGTAGTCCGGGAGCTGGTTGTGACCTGGCCACGTGTCTTCGGTCGGTGTCCCCAACAATTTGAAAATCCGTTTTAATTGGTCCTCCACGTCTGATCCGGGGAATAAGGGGCGTCCAGAATTTGCCAGTTCTATATATAAAACAAGATAAGAAGATTATGCATGTGATTAAATATTTAAAAATCGTTCAATTGCAAAAAATATGTCTCGGGGCCCGTACAATGCGCAATATGTGTATGAAATCACGGAAAAATTGTAGAAAATTGGGTACAAATTCACAAAAAGTACAGAAAATTCGCGCAAAACTGGGAAAAAATGTCATAAAATTCTCGTTAAGTTTTCGTAACTTTATGTATGAACAAAAATATTATCCTCAGTTTACCAAAACTAGAAGAAAATATGTGCAAATTTACAAAAAATACTCATAAATATATAAAGTTCAATAAAATAGCAAGAACTCATAATTTTATAACACATACAACTTGATTTTTGAGCAGGTTGTTTTGAATCTATACAAATTGACAAGCTTTCACGTCAAATTTGCAAATTTTGGGAGATCAAGAACATATAAAAGGTAAAGGTTAAATTGGCACATTGGTGAAAGTTTTAATTTTTCAGTTTATGCAGTTTATAAAATTATTGAAATATTTCGAACGCCGTGTCTGAAATCTCGGAAACATTTCTAATTTTTAGGTTGGAAGATTTTCAACATGTTTTTGTCTGCAAACTTGTTTCACCCGAATTTTTGATCCCCTTCGCAAATTAATACCTGCAAAAATACACCCGGCGGACCACATGTCGATCGAAGTGTTGTACAACTTGGCTCCAAATAGGACATCCGGTGGGCGGTACCATAACTGAAGAATCACAGAAATTATTAAAATTAGTGGCTAAACTTATTTAAATATTGTCCAATTTAAATCTTCACCGTGACCACTTCCGCTGAGTAACACTTGACCGGAATTCCGAACGCTCTCGCCAATCCGAAATCAGCCAGTTTCAGTTCCCCGTTCTGAAAGGAAAATGAATCCAGTTTTTAATTCTTATCAAAAACTTCATCAAAATTTCAACCTACGACACAAACACGACTTAAAAAAATTTCAAAACATTTACGACAATCTTGTGTTGCATCATCGTCGGCTAATCGAATATAATAATTCAATTTCAGCAGCATGTCAATTAAGCAAATTAAAACGGTTAATCATGGTTATTATAAATAACCAGGCAATTATATAGACATCAAATTTGTTAGTGAATCATCATTGTCAATTAATTAGTTAAACATTGAATTAATTACATACCTTGTTAATGAGCAAATTTTGCGGTTTGAGATCACGATGGAGGACGTTATGCCCGTGACAAAACGCTAAACCTCTCAAAAGCTGGAACATGAAGGATTTGACGACATCGGGATCAATGTCACCTACAAATTTAATTAATAACTAAAGTGTACAATTAATTACAATTAATTAATCAAATACCGTTTAGCGAATCAAAGTATTTCTTCAAATCTTGGTCACAATGTTCAAAAACGAGTGTTAACTTTTTATCCGAGTGGAGTACATCGTAAAGGCGGACAATGTTCTTGTGTTTTAATTCCTTCAGGAGACAAATTTCTCGCAGGGCAGAGGATGGCACGCCCTAATGAATTACCGTAATTAAATTATGTCGTTTAATTTGCAAAATCAAATTTTAAAGTGCATTGCATTAAGATTCTACCTCATCCTCATCATCCAACCGGACCCTTTTTAACGCCACAATCTCCAACGTTTCACGATTCTTGGCCTTAAACACGGTTCCATAAGTTCCTAAATTTAAATTAAGTTTAGCATAATCAGTAATTGAAATATGAAATAAATTATCAATTCATCCAATTTGGGAAACTTTGCCTCAAATGGAATACAAATCAAAATACTTTTTACCTTCTCCGATTTTTTCAAGCTTTTCATATTTCTGCATTTCCTAGACCTTCTCAGAAACGAGAAATGTATAAAATATGTTCCCACTTTTACTAATTATTAATTTATTAAATAAATTCAGTCAGTGAAAGTAAACTTTGTGCTTTCACTCGTTAACTCTGCCAAAACAAGACTTTACCGGGCAGTCTCGTAATGCCCCGAGTGGTGGGAAGCTTCAAAATTCGCGTCCATCCATCCTGTCACTAAAAATTTTTATCAACAGGACAAAATTTTTAATTTAAAAATTTAAAAAAATAAAATAACACTTTAATTTAATTACAAATTAATGGCACAACGTTTTCCGAGCAGTGGCGGTGTCGCCATTCAAGGCGGACCGCCGGTCCAACAAGCAGGAATTGGACCGCAACAAGGACCCCGATTTCCGGGCGGGTCGCCGAATCCACAAATGCGACCTTATCCACCTCAACCGGGTTATGGGGTAAGTATAAAATTTTACGCAAATTGTAATTTGTATTCGTCTATTGGTTGTGCAAAAAAATGCAAAAAATATTAACTAGTTAACGAATTATTTCAGCCCGGCCCAGGAGGTTATCAGCAAGGTCCTCCTCGTCAAATGATGATGCCTCCCCGACCTCCAGGTCAACCACCGGGGGGATTTGGAGGTTCAGGCGGAGGAGGAATGCAACAACGTCCCATGACACCACAGTCAGGCCCCAAACGGCCACCCGTCGACCCTCGAGCAGTCCAGCAGAAACAGTAATTAAATAAATCTCTCATTTTTAATTTAATTAACCCAATTAAATATTAAATACTTTCACTTGATTAGGGAACCACCTCCAAAAAAGAAGAAGAAACAAGCTGACAAAGTCCTTCCTCAGAAGGTTCGCGATTTGGTTCCCGAGTCTCAAGCTTACATGGATCTGCTCGCCTTTGAGCGCAAGTTGGACGCCACCATTATGCGGAAGCGACTCGATATTCAGGAAGCGCTCAAACGACCGATGAAATTGAAGCGCAAGTTGAGAATTTTCATCTCCAATACGTTCTATCCTCCGAAAGAGCCCACCGAGACGGAGGAGGGGGCGACATCCTCGTGGGAGTTGAGGGTTGAAGGACGACTCCTCGAAGATAACAAGTCCGACCCGAATAAGGTATGTATATGCAAAAATATTGTGCAAATTTTCAAGCTTTAATTACAAAAACGCTGTATTTTTTTTGCTGCTCTCAATTTTCAAAAATTCACACTTATTTACAAACTATGACAAAATTAAGATTTCATTTTAGTGGAAGCCGACCTTCCCTCTCAGAAGGGATTTTTCCGTAATTTTGCGAACTTTACATATTTCACACTTACTAAGTTCAGAAATGCACAAAAATGCAATTAAATACAAGATTTATACACTATAATAATATTCTACACACAAACTTGTGTGAAACTTGTTGCGAAATTGACTTTTTAAAATTGTGTTACAAACTTCTTTAAACTCAATAAAATAAAAATTTACACAGCTTTTTCACAGCTTTTTTCAAAGCAAAGACATCAATATATGTATAAATAAATCCTGTTTATCCAATTTCTCAGATCAAACGGAAGTTTTCATCCTTCTTTAAATCTCTGGTGATTGAGCTGGACAAGGATTTGTACGGACCGGACAACCATTTGGTAGAGTGGCACAGAACACCGACGACCCAGGAAACTGATGGATTTCAGGTCAAGCGACCTGGCGATAAGAATGTTCGCTGCACAATCCTCCTCCTCCTGGATTACCAACCCCTTCAGTTCAAGCTTGACCCTCGTTTGGCCCGGCTCCTCGGAGTCCATACACAAACTCGCCCCGTCATCATTGCTGCTTTATGGCAGTACATAAAGACCCATCGGTTGCAGGTTTAACTGATTAATTAATTTGGACATTATTTATTTATAATCATTACCAAATCCTTATTTTGTAACGTGACTTGCAGGACGCACATGAACGAGAATTCATAAACTGCGACAAATATCTCGAGCAAATATTTGGCATTCAGAGGATGAAGTTTGCCGAAATTCCGCAAAGGTTGAACCCACTCCTCCATCCACCAGACCCGATCGTTATCAACCATATTATCAGGTGGGTCATGGGTTATCATTTAATTTATTCAGTTAACTAACATGGTTATCATTTAACTTGTCAAAAACTTGGCTGATTTTATTTCAGTGTGGAAGGCACCGAACAAAAGAAGACGGCCTGCTACGATATCGAGGTTGAAGTCGACGACACGTTGAAAACCCAGATGAATAATTTTCTCTTATCGACCGGAAGTCAACAGGAAATTCAGGTTTGCATACATTTTTTTCTACTTATCTGGTCGACTTATCTTATATTTCTAATTATTACAGAGCCTCGACTCTAAGATTCATGAAACTGTCGAGACCATCAACCAATTGAAGACGAACCGAGAATTCTTTCTCAGTTTTGCGTTCGATCCACAGCAATTTATCACGCGTTGGTTGGCTTCACAAACGAGGGATTTGAAGGTAATTGGTTACGATTGTCATATTACAAATATTGCCGTGCATAGATTTCCTCTAAGTTTGTGACTGCATCATTATGCAAATTATAAATACTGAATTACACCAAATTTTAAATATTTCCCATCTTTTTTCTATCTAGACGATGACAGATGTTGTCGGAAATCCGGAGGAAGAACGACGCGCCGAATTTTACAACCAACCCTGGATCTCGGAAGCAATTTGTCGCTACTTCTATTCAAAATTACAGCAAAAGAGGGCCGAGTTAGAGCAAGCCTTGGGAATTAGAAGTTCATAACTTTTCTACATTTTTTTAATCCCAACCAAAAAAAACTTATTCTTTTGTAAATATGTTTCGGTGTTATTACATACAAGCTAAATGATCATAAGAAATAAATATTGGTCTAAATAAATATGAATTTCTTGGAATTTTATTCACTTTTTATTGTCAAAGTACATTATTTTCACGATTTTTAAAAAACAGTATTCTTACAGCGATTATGTAAAAGTTACATATGTAAGTTTGTCATAAAACCTGCATTTTACCCTTCATAAACCAATTACATCCTGTATCTTCCAGCTTCCTTTATAATAAAAATCACTCAAACACTGTAAAAGTATGAGTAAAAAATGAGACGAGAGTTTATTTTATGAAAAATGACCCAGAAATTTTGAGCATATACTTACATCTTACAAAAACTACATAGGTACACATCATGAAATTTTTGAAAAATTGTCCGTCATTTTCATTAAAAATGTTGAATGGCAGTGTAGTATATAATTTGTAGCATTACAGTTTTTCACAAAATTGAGTATAGTAAACGTCGTTTAAACGATCTTTACTTTTCTAAAACTTGAAAAATTTCTGAAAACATTGACTATTTTACAAACAGTATTTGTAGAGAATTAAGATAATACGTGCATTGAGAATCGTATAGTTTTACAAGCTCGTAACTTTTCATTGAGCGAATAAATACGCTAAATAATTAAATATTAGTTTAATAATTAAATATTAATTAAATAATTAAATATATCGACATCAAGTCATCAGTCTTTATTGTTCTTGGTGTTGCCACTACTCCTCCGCTGCTGTTGGAGTCGTTCTAGTCCGGTGAAACGTAACCTGGCCGGAGCACTGGAGGCCGGAGGGGCGACAACTTTCGCCCCACTTTCTACTACCAAAGTCGGGGTACTTTTTCCCCCCACCGCGTTGAATGGACGTTGCAGATGACGCGGGGTGAAGGATGATGATGTCGTCGTAGTAGTCACAAAAGAAGCCGATGACGGTGAAGCGGTCAACGATGGCGAGATTTTCTTCAACCAGGCTTTCACTTCTCCATAAAGGGCCGTCTTATCGGGAGAAGAGAGATGCTTCGTTACCAAGCGGAGGACTTGGAAGCGCAGATCGATAAGCTTGACGACACTCAAATTTTGACATTGGTGGACCGTTTTTGTCAATAAGTGGTCAAACTTGGGTCCAAACGTGGCAGCATTGTTACCTGTGTAGAAATAAAAACATTTATTATATATCTTTAAGACATTTCTTTACTTTTTTTGTTACTTACACGGATAGAAATCATTATCACAAGGACCGTTCGGAGTGGCGGCACCCGGACTGGACGAATTTGGCACAGTTCCACCCGACCCTGGCGGACTTGTCGAGGAAGACGACGACTGACTTAGACGCGGCACTGCGCGAAGCTTCCCGGCTGCAGAGGAGGAAGATTCTGTCGTTTCTACGGTGGGAGAAATCGTCTCATCATCGTCACCTACAACGTCAACTTCCTCGTCTTCGTCATCCTCGTCATCTTCTCCCTTTTCTTCCTCAATTACAATCTGACTGAAATTTTTATCCTCCAAGTTTCTCACAGAGGATGAATTCGGTCGTTTACACTTCTTTTTTTGAATGGTTCCCTTCGACCATGCGGAGGATTTTCGTCGCTTCGTCTTGGCTGAGGCTGGTCGGGAAGTAGACGAGGTTGATGGGTCGACTCTATTTCGTGTCGAGGTGGACGGCGTCACAACGTTGGTGGAGGAGGACGAGACCACAGCAAGTTCTTTAACTTGACCATTACTCGATTCCGGGTTGGCATTCGAATTTCCACCACTCGTCGTTTTGTTCCGTTTACCTCGGGCTTTTATAATTTTGTGACATTCTCGCTCAAAATCGGAGTCCATTTCGTCTTCGATTAGTTTTTCGGCAAAGTCTTTCAACTCGTAGGCACGTAGTCGGAGACGCTGCAAGGATATGAATAGATAACCAATTTGAAAAAAATTGGATACATTTTGGGACATAAATTTCAGTTCAATCAGTCCAGAAGCATAACTCCACACAAATTTACACTTCAAATTACCTTGTCCGATTCCGTTTTATGCGGATTATACGCCAAACAGTTGGTATAAATGAGGTCAATGTCGTCTAAAAACTGCCTCGCGGTGTAGTACGAGTTCGAATTGAGTTTAAACATCATCGCCTCAAAGTCCATGGGACGTTCGATGACTTCCAGATAGTCGGGAACTTCCTCTATGTCCACGGGACAGGTGAACTCTTCAAATCTGTCAATTTAAGAATGCCATTAATTTCCTTTCACTCATAATAAATAAACTAATCCTAAATTAAACCCACTTCTTATTTCGAGCCAACTTAGTTAAAATCTGTCTCAGGAAAATTCTCAATTCTCTAAATGTAGAATTTTCCCGTTTCTCTATCGCTTCAAGTTCTTCCTTCGTCCACTTCGGGACAGACGAGTTATCTTCGGGTGGGGCGAGTGCGAGCTGTTCCAATTCCCCTGAAGAACAGTTAATTAATTAATGAGTGACATCACATAATTATACAATTAAATTACTTAGCTAAACAACTTACTCGACTCCGCCTCCACGACTCGCTTCACCTTCGTAGCCAATTCGAAAACGGGTTGGAAAAAGAGTTGAATTGTACTCACGGACGGTCGCGGCAGCCGAACGACGTGATTTACAAAGAGACTCGAAAGGTCGCAATTTTCGCCGAAAGTGTGATCCAGCTGGCCCTCAACGGTGGCGAGAAAGAGGATCGGTTTCGTCAGACTTTGTGCCATCATGCGGATCATGATTTCTTTTGACGCGTCGCTCAACAGGTCACAAAGACGTTCAAGATCGGGCAGGTAACAGATGCAGGGTTTCGGCTGCTTCATAACTTCCATGCATTTCTATATGAAAAATATTAATGGATAAATATAACATTTATTAAAATATATATATATCAAAATTATAACCAAAAGCATCAAAAAGTGTGATCAAAATTTCCAAAATATCAAAATAATGTCCAAAATTGTCAAAATTACTTCAAACTAATGACCAAAATTAGCATAAAACACCACTAAACTTGAAAGTTTAGTGGGGTTCTTGTCTTCCACTCACTAAATGAGCAATTAGATAATTAATTTAACAGCAAACAGCACCCACCTGTGTCACACAAAACTCTACATTTCCTCCATCCATGTGTAACGCTTCGAAGCTGAGTACGTAGACGGGGACCTTTTCCAACAAGTGGAGCAAGGCTGGGACGATGAACGTATTCAACCCGCTTTCCCCCTCGGCCTGGAGAAGAAGCCGTTTCACGCTCGATTCCGCCAAAAGAGAGGGCGAATCATGGGGGAACAAACCCTCCAAAAACTCCACCGCGACCCTCAACTGTTTCCGCAGAAGGGGCTGCACAAAGCCAGGCAGCGGCTGGGCGGGCGAATAGGTCGAGAAAAGCGAGCGTTGCGTCGATGGAGAAATTGACGCAAGGGCATCCTCCCAATCCTCACGGTCCATCTAATCAATCCAGCAATTAGTTAATTAATTATTTAATTGTATCCCAGTTTATAAATTGTGCAAAATTTGTGAAATCACAAAAATTTATGCAAGTGTTTTTATCAATATCCTCACCTTGATCGAGTCGTAGTTCAAGAGATACTTCTGCGACGACCCGTAAATCTGAGGGTACGTGCGACGCAGCGAATTCATGGTGGCCTGCCAGCAAAGGAATTTCAAATCAGCCCCGTTAAAGCCGACACTTCGGTCGGCCAACTCATCCAAGAGTTCCACTTGCGGGGGATCCTTCCACTTGGAGACGTGCACTTGTAAAATGTCTCGGCGTCCCTGTTCCACCACACAAAATTAATTGATTAATTAGTTAATTATCTATAAGTTATAGATAATTAACTAATTAATTTGTTATAGACTATAACAAATTATTAATAAAGTATTCCTACATTTCTCGTCGGTAAAAAGATGGGAAGTTCACAATCGAATCGTCCCGGCCGTCGGAGAGCTGGGTCGACAAAATCCAGCCGATTCGTGCTCCCCATCACGATAATCTGGCCGCGATCTTGCAGCCCATCAATCTCCGCGAGCAATGAAGACACAATCGAGTTGTGGATCTGGTCAGATTTCGCTGATCGTACTGGCGCAAGGCCGTCAATCTCGTCGAAGAAAATTATACTCGGCTGGTGAAGGGCGGCCTGTTGGAATAACATCCTTAGCTGACGTTCCGATTCACCCACGAATCTGAAAATAATTTGTAATTAATTATAATTTAAACTGATCAATAATATGAAAATTATTATCTTCTCACTTGTTCAATAAATCGGCTCCCTTTCTCAAAAAGAATGACACCTTTCTCCCATTAATGTTGGCGCACTCGTTAGACAACGCTCTGGCCAGGAGGGTCTTTCCCGTCCCTGTAAAATAAAATAGTAAGTTTTAATTGCATAATCAGTTACAAACTAACAATTAGCTAACAATTAGCAAAACCCCGTTTAACAGAAGGCCTCTACATTTTAATAATTATTTCATCAATTAAGAAAATGCACGTTTTTCAAAACTTCAACACATTTTTAAGTTCAAGACAAAAACTTTTCAACAGCTTTTAACTTGAAAACGGACATATTCAAAATTTCACCTCACAATTTTTAATCAAGAACTCACCTGGTGGTCCATGGAGAAGAATTCCCTTGGGCGCTGACATACCGCGCCCTTCATAAAACTCATGGTAGAGCAGAGGAAATAGCACAATTTCCTTCAACTTGTCGATAAAGGTGTCCAATCCACCCACCGATTTGAACGTGATGGACGGATCCACCGCTACGGGCTGGACTTCCATCAGCATTTTGAGCTCTTTCTTCGCCACGAGGCCATGTCCGCGGAGTAAATTGTCGACCCCTTCGCCACCACTGGGCACGCCGAATTTGCGCTTTTTCTTTGATGGCGACTTGATCTGGGTGTCGTCCGAGTCCGTGGAGGAGGACGATGATGAAGACGAATTCGATAGCTTCTCACCCCGACGACGTTTGTGGCGACGATTCTTGCGTAAAATTTTATCCAGTTGTGCTTCAGATTCTGAGAAATATTGATAATTTCAAAACCAAAATTTTGAAAATCCTTCCATAATTTACTTACCATAAAGATTTCCACTATTTCGACTCAACTTATTCCTATCGCGCAATCTTCGACACACGGGTTCCTCTTCGATCTGACTACTTTTCTTCTTCCCAACACCCACGGAGGACGATTTGGACCTGTTTCGGGTCATGACTCGTCTCTTTTTCACGCGAGAGTACATGTCGTCATTCTACAAAAAATCAGTCCCATCAATTAATTAATTACTTAATCACCTTTAACATTATCTCCTACTCACCGTATCATTGTCATCTGTCGCCACAACGTGTCCATTCTCCTCGGCCGATGACACTTCCAATTCTTCTTGCACGATGGCAATGGTTTCCTGCGATCTGCTCCTTGTCCCGACCACATTGCCGTTCGTATTACCACCCACATTGGCACTACTAGGTCTCGACGAGACGACGAGGCGCCGTGCTGACGCCCGAGTGAGGGAGCTCGGACGAAAGTAACCTTTCGCCTCTCCACCCCCTCCAACCACCCAGGACAAAGTAGAGTCGTGGTACGTACCTCGTATAATATGACGGGGACGAGTCGATCGGCGACGGCCGTCGTCCTTATCGGAATCTAAAGGTAAATAATTTATTTAAAACGTTGGTAATAAAATCACAACTGGAAATTTACGTTTTTCAAATAAATTTCAAAAAATACAAGAAAGTAAAAATATGCTCACATGTCAGCGACGCAGCTCGTGACGAACGTAAAATTTTGTACGTTTCGTTATCATCCGTGCTACTATCTTCGCCATGCGAGGCATCGTCGGTCTCGTCCTCGTCAACCACCTCGTCTTCGCCGTTATAGTCGACATCGTCTGTCTCTTCATCGTCCATGTGACCATTTTCCACCTCTGCTGGTTTCGGGGAAGAACGATATGGCGACTTCTTTTTCTTGGCTTTCATCTCCTTGTCGTCATCACTGTCGACCTCAGTTTCGGATTGCGAGTCGTCCTCAGAGTCTAAACCGTTCACCTTTCTAGATGGAATATTATTCCGCTAGGGAGAACAACAATTATATTAATGATTAATTAATGAGTACGCTTAATTAATTAAATTGCTAATTACTCACCCGACTCGACGTCAACACAATTCTACACTCCTTCTTGGAATCTTCCAACGGCGACGTGGTACTCGAATTTCGCGTCGTTCTCCTCCCAACCGGTGCTGGTGGAGGGGATGATAAGCGATCTTCATGTCGACGACTACTCCGATCGTGATTTTCATCTCGATAGCGATTGTGATGATGTCGTGGCGACGTTTTCTTCTCAACGAGGGGGACATATATGTCGTCGTCATCGTCCATATCGTCACCTTCCGGGGCCTTGTTCTTAACAACTGCAACAACGGAAGGGGAAGAACTAGAAGGTAAAATCTTCATATTTTCTTTGACAGATTCCGAATATCCTCCAGCTCGTCGGGACGACGTCGCTGTCGCGGTCGTGCCTCCAAAAGCTAACGAATTTTTCTGATCTTCGTGCAAACTCCGGAGCTCGCGGCTCATGCTTATCTTATGAACACGGTCGTGACGAGGTCAGAGGTCAATTACTAGTCAGTCTTTTTTTAATCTCTTGTCCCACCTCCCTCCCTCCAAAAAATTCCCACCAAACGAAACCGACTGACTCCGTCCTGCCAGACCACCCAAACGTGATTACCGATTATTGGGGACCTCGTTCAATTTGAAATTTTGTAAATTAGAAATTTATATTTTCCAAATAAATTCCAGTCTTATAAACTTGGTAAAAAATTGGAGAACGTAAAAATGACGATTCTGCGTGAAGAGGAGGGATAGTCAACAAAGCTCAGAAAGTTCCCACCACCAGCGAAACAAAGACGTCTCACTCCTGTCTCAATAACGTTCATGCATGCATAAATTTTCATGAAAATGATGTCAATTTTGACCTCGAAATGAGAATGACCTTCTTGGATTATCTTCTCAATTATGATAAGTAGTATTTTTTTAGGCAAATTTTGATATGATACAGTGACGACAAGATAAAATGATTTTTAATTAAATTTGAAGACAAGATTCGTAATAAATTTATTTCGAGAAATATGTAGAAGCTAAAAATATTTATTTCTCAAATTATTTATAACGTTGTTTCCGGCTGAGACGTCGTGGTCGTTGGCGTCGTCGTTGTTGGTGTTGTGGTCGTCGGCCTCGGCGTCGTCGTCGTTGGCGGTGGCGTCGTCGGCACGGGAAGATCACAACACTCCGCAGCAATATTGTTTAAAGAGGTGTCATCGGCTATACAAAAATAGCACGATTATTATAATTATAATTAGCAATAATTACTTAATTCCTCTTCCCCCAATTAATTAAATTCACTAATTTTTAAAAATCCTCACCCAACCCTTGAGGCGCTTCGATCTGCGTCTGGAACGCGCACAGCGCTTCGCTCGTTGAGCAGCGACGGGAGTCACGCCAAAGACCGAAACCCAGTCCGTCCCCTTCAAGGGGGTCGGGTAACGTGTTGCAATAAAAACGAACGTTATTCGTCGCCGTCTCGTCGTCAATTCCGTTCACTTCGACGCGCAGGGCGAATCCGTTAATGTACGAACCAATCGGACATGAAGAGATTGACCCCCACACACCGTACGCCCCTTCAGACGAGGTCACCGTCCCGGCGTCTTCATCCACTCCGGGTGCTCCACAGTAGAGACGGATAGCGTTTCCTGGAGAGGGAGCAAAATTTCAGTGAAATGGTTAAAATTTTTAGGTTTTTGACTAGATTTTGTGACATTATTAAAAAAATTCATCCAGTATTTAACTCGACGCCAAACTGTTGTGAAATTCAATATTTCCAAGAAATGCAAGATTTGTAGTTTAAAACTGCATGAAATGAGAATCGTAAATTAAACAGTTTTGAAAATTTGAAACTATTTTAGCAAAAATTACTTGAAAATAATTAAATTTTAAGCTAAAATCATGAAAAACTGAAAAAAATCAAACTGTAAATCTATTTTGAGTTAATTCTAAGCTCGTTTTTAGAAAAGTGAATTTTTCCTCATTAACTGGCTGCCTTTAGATAACCACTTATCCACCCGCACGTACCTGCAGTGTCGTCGATGAGGGGGCCTTTGTAGGGCTCCGTCTTGAGCTGGAAGCCTCTCGCGAAGGTACCATTCGGACATCGGTCAAAAGCCCCCCAAACGCCCCAGTTTGTCGTCGGTGGAGAAGTTATGATCTCCCCGGCGTGCGCCACACCCACAAGAAGAAGGACTAGATAAGAAGTTGCCGTCATGATAATTGATCGTCAACACGGGGCTCAGAGGAGAAGAATTCTGACAATGATTTAATCATGAGCTCACATTTATATGTAATGCACTGATTGAGTGATGATAAGATCTTATCGTTGTCACCCATACACACACCGTATTTCGTGACATAACGTATAACCGTGTCCATTATTCAGACAGACTTTGACCTGGACAGGACTACAGAGTCCATTTTCACGCAATCTGACTGAACTCTTGATTGATACAAATAGTCATGCAATTGATACTAAAAAATACATGATCTATGCAAATAGCTAACCACATAATTGGTAATTCCCATATGTGCTTATCCATGCAGATATAGATTCCAGAAAAACCAGGACGTGATGCTTAAAAATAACTGATAATACTGGCATAATTTTTGTCCATTTCATAATTCATCTCGCCAATCATTTCACTTCTTTCGATGAGTTCTTTGTTCACCAATGTTTCACTCTTTACAAACTTGCGACAATGTTATAAAAGCTTAACTATGGCGCAAGTTACAGTAATGAAGCTTATGTAAAAAAAACAACGTACAACGTGCAATGTAAATAAATACTTATGAAAATCCGATGTGAAGATTTCAACACGTTTGAATGTTTTCTTATCGTCATCTTCTTCATAACGCGAAAAGTTATCAATTTAAATAAATGATTTATAACTGTATTTTTTTAAATTGTAAAATTTGATCAAAAATTGGACTGAAAAATTTCATGATGAATTAAAACGTCGTTTTTTCTTTATTCAGCATAATGGTTTTATGATCCAACCGCGAAGTAGATCTGATGAGCTTATGAGTTTATTCCGTCAGCCGGTGATGTTTATTCAATAAACTCACCTTTTTGAAATTATGATTATCATCAAATATTATTATTTAGCCAGCATAATGTGATTGTCGACATCACGAAATATGTTCACGTATCGACGCTACTAAGTGACAGGTCAGAAGTCACAACGATATCGCTATCTTCGTCATATCAAAAAAGTATTAGAATAACAATGGTTCATCCCATTTTACAAATCTTCATCCCCGACACGCTTCAAGCCTCGCTTATCCAGTATGAGAGGCAAAGAGGTCACCGTCACGGCCGTCAAGCCTTCAATCTTATCGGGTTTACTCAGAGGTAAGTATGAAGTTGACTACAAGATAACCTTATTATAACGTGTCTATAATTCAAATTTTTTAAATTCTAGACAATCTCAAAACTGTCCTCATCTTCCCGATAACGAAAAAGATCAAAAAGGTCACTCCTCCTCTCAGGCGCAACATCTCCTCCTCCCCGACCTCGTTCAAGTCTCTCTTGTCGCGTTATCTTCGTCCTACAAGGCGTACGAGTCTAGTGCGTATCACGATGATGAAGTCGTTGGTCAAGTCATCCTTGGTAAGTGTGAGGTCAAGGTCAAAGGTCAATCATATTTTATAACTAATTACTAACTTACTAGATGACGAACCCCTCCAACCAACTCCGGCCTGGGCATGTTCCGAACTTTCTTCCCTGTTTGTCACGCTACGTCTTTTTTCGCCATCGTCGCCTTCCTCCGCGTCGTCCATTCGGGTGGAACGTGTCGTCTTAGACGGCCTCGTCTTATCCCCTGACCCTGGCGTTGTCATCCTCTTCCATTACTCGCCCTCCCTCCTCAATCAAGCCCACCATTTGCGCCACCTTCACGAATCCGAGAGTGGACTGCCTCCCCTTCTTCGCGCCGCGTTTCGCCCTCTTCCTCGCGATCGGAACGACCTTATTCCCCTCCAAGGGAGAGAATGGCCTTCAAGTGAGGTCGCGAGTGACCCATTCGGCCTAGAATTTGGGGATGAAATCGACTCTTCCACGGCCAGTTGGCGTGATAGGGTCCTTTCAAGGTCGATGGGGGTTAAGCAGATTAATCTCCGTGCTCGGTTGGTGTTAAATGTAAGGAATTGAATTATCTAAAATATTTTTTACAAATTTGCAAATAAACAGATTTCATTTCATTACATTTTCAGCTATTTCACGGTAAATTGTCGATCCTCGCGGGGCTCAACTTGATTGCACTGCTGACTCTGGATATCACTCTGGGCGTGATGTTGACCACTTTTTTGCTGACCTTCTTCCCCGCCTTATATGCCACCCTGCATGCCCAAGTCCACATCCTGTTACGCCTTCTGCTCGGTCTACTGGAATGGTTGAAAGGTTCCCCGGCCGGTTTGAAGCTCAACGCCGAGCTCAACTCGCTCCTTTGGCGATTTTTCTCTTATCATTTGCACCTCTGGGCGAATTATATTGGTGAGTTGAATGAAACAGTATTTTCGAAATTACGAGTTGGACATTGGAAAAATCTTTAATATTTTTTTTAGTATTTCATGAGAACATAAATTTCGATTTGAGTCGTGAAACTTGATCAAAAATATTTAGTGAAAAAATGCTATCAAAAAATTTTAGGTTTCGAAATTTTAAACCAGGTTATCTTTTAGTGTGTAGTATAATTTCAAAGTTAAGAGGTGTTTTGTTGTAACTTGTAAGAAGCAATCGATAAATTTTCAAGTATTTTGCGTAAAGTTTTAAAACCCCAATATCAGTTTTAGTCGTGAAATGTTACCAATTTTTTAATTTGCCAAAATTTTTGTCGAATGTTGACCACAAAATTTTGACTATAAATTTCACATCGGAACATTTGTGGCCTTTTAATATTACCTAAATATAATTTCAATTACAAAAATCATTCAGTATAATTGCAATTCTTTTTAAAATTGTTAAAACTTTTTAAAAGCCATAAAAAATAAAAAATAGGAATTATGCATACAATTTTATAAAATCGGATTATTATTTTTTTGTCAGGAATTTTGGAGCCAATTTTATCCCTGATCTTATCCACGATAATCTGGATCGGGCCACTCAGCTTTACTGTGCAGCTCTCCTTGATGAAAGACCTCATCAGCATGGCCACATTTCATGTCTACTGTCTCTACATTTACGCCACGAGGTAAAATCAACTATTCACGTCAACTTTGTCGTTAAAAACTGTATGTAAAAAAAACTGCGTATAAAATACTGGGTACAATTATTTACATAAGAATGAATAATAACTTTATAAGTTTGCGAAAATTGGGGCAAACATTATGAACACAATTAATTGTGCATATTTAATTTCAGACTCTACCACATCTTCCTTATCGTGATAACCTCCCTGGGCCGTCTCTTCTTTGGCCGGAAGTGGAATCCACTACGAAATCGGGTCGACCACGTGCACCTCTCGATCTCGGAAGTCTTCCTGGGCGCTCTCTTCTTCACGATTGCCATCTTCCTCTCGCCCACGGTGATCATTTACTACGCCGTCTTCTTATCGGTGAGAAAATTTGTGTTACAAAAATAAAATTGATTTCAATATTTCTAACGAATGTAATTTTCCAGCTCCGCTTGACTGTCCTCTTCCTCGAGTTGAGCCTCTCCCACTTTGTCGCCACATTCAACTCGATCCGACCCGTGAGCACGCTGCTTATCTTGGCAAACAGTCCCCGCGTTTGTGACCAAGTTTATCTCGAACGTCTCCTAGAACCAGAAGATTCGTCGTCTTCTTCGTTTCAACATCCGCCCCAATTTCGGATTCGCCTGCAAGCCACAAAGTCACCCTTTTCACTGTCTCCGACTTCCTCGGACAGCGACGACGGGGGTGGATTCAGCCTCTTCAAAACGATAAGCTACATCATCCGGGGGCAAGTTCTTAACCGATGAGATGAGATAAGGTAAACAAGAAAATATGTATTTATTCTTTGCCATCATCATCATCAGCACGTGCTTATCAATCAGCAAACTTTTACAATTAAGCAAGAATTAAATAATAGTAACTTATTTAATTTCATATTTATCTAAATAACTTACTTAATTAAATACTAATAATCCGATATACGTGAATAAAAATCGTAAAATTATTCAAAGTAATGAAAATTTTCCACATTTTGAAACATCACATTTGCATCATCATGATAACCTATAACATCACCACACTTATCAGGGATAAGTTACCTATCATCATAAAATTTGCATCTAGTTGCAAAAATATGTAAATGCCCGTCAGCCCGAAGGTGTCGTTGACCGGACGACGGAGCGAGGACTTTTTTCACGCTTGAAGTTGTCCAAGTGGGTCGGGATTCTCTGCTCACAATCAGTTCGCTCTCCGTCTCCGACCCGGTCACATCTCGCTGTCTTTTCTTCTCTCAACTTTTTTTCATTTCTGATAAGCACCCTACTTATTGATAAGTGAACATTATCATAATCATCATACTCATATCAACATCATGTCGTCCCCCGTGGAAAACAAGGATCTCATCGTCCTCCCAAAAGGTGAAGAAAGCGAAAACACCGAATTTTCCAGCACCGAGAAAACAGCAACAACACCAATCGGAATCTTCTCAAAACCGAATCTTCGCCCGAAACGGAAAACTCGTCAGTCTTTTCGCGACTTGGCGAATAATGGAGTCGCCGAAGAGCCAGAAACAACGGAGCAGAGTGGTTCAACCTCAAATGTAGCGACGTCGCGGCCGAGTCGTAAAGCGCGGAAAAGGCGAGCCCCCGCCGCCAGTAAGAAGAGGGTCTGTCCCGTGAAGAAGGTCAAGCTAAACTTTGGACAGGAAGAGGAAGCGCAGCAGGACGCCGACGAGGTGCCCGCACCCGTTTTGGAGAGAATTGAGGAGCTTGAGGAAGGTCAAGGAGGAGGAGAAGAAAATCAAGGTCAAGGTGGTGACGATGACAACAGGTTTGCTATTGATAAGTGGTTATCGTTTCGTTTCATATTTTATTTTATGTATATATTTTTCTGCTAGTGTCCCACCAAATTTGGAAAAAATGACTCAAGAAGTTCCCTGCAATGAGGGTAGCGATGTCATCGATGCTCTTCAAGTCGCTTCGGACTCGCCAAAGTCGACGGCGGATCAGCAGGTTGGTCTCCAATCAAATTAATACACTTATCGAGGATAAGATGTTATCATTTTCTCCCCAGCAGGACATTCCACCACTACCGCGACTCACTCCGTCTCCGGAACTGAGCCTGCCCGACGAAGCACCAATCGTGCCTCTTCTTCGTGTCCCCACCCCGCCTGCCGCCGCTCCCAAGAAGAAAAAGAAGGCGAAAGGACGCAACGGAAATATCTACATTGGCGTGGCAAATCGCATCTGGTGGCTCAAACTGCAGCAACAATTCGGTTTCGATAACATCAATAGCTTTGGCAACTTTGTTATGGGATACATGAACAAAGTCCACTGGTAAAAATATTCCTTTACGCCATAGTTAAACTATTACTAACTCATACATAGATTTATAACTAATTTATCCTCCTCCATTTTTATCCAGCGACTTTGAAATCCTGCACCAAGTCGCGGTCAACGTGGGACTCTTTGAACCTCAAGGACTCGCCGGATTTCGCTGGGTGAACGGTCTTCCACACCCGATCAACGCGGAGGGCGACTTCATCCAACTCCCGACTGTGCAGATGAGTCAAGAATATTGTGAAAAAGCGTTCAAGGTGGCGTACGATTTGTGTCTTGAAAGAGGAAAATTTCTCGTCGAGTTGGCCACAGGAAGCGTCGAGGCGGCTGGAGGACGGGATGACGTTGGGGAAGACGGGGACGATGAAAGTGAAGAGTCGACTCCTCCAGTAGAAGAGACCACAGCTACAGAAGAAGCCGCTACAACGCAGGATGAAGGACAACAAGAGCAAGAAGTGACGTCGCCAGTATCAAAATCCGGTGAGGAAGATGCCACCAGCTCTGTCGACACTCCTAAAACAGACGTCACGCCGCTAGAAGAATTAGATGAAGACGTCTTCTCGAAAACAGTTCTGCTTAAGCTTACGCTGGACCTCGATCCCATTACGACGACAGAAGACGTCGACAAACTCGGCACCACGCCACAAGAAGAAGCTGACGATCTTACCACCACGCCACGAACAGAAGCTGACGACTTTACCACCACGCCACAAGAAGAAGCTGACAACTTTACCAACACGCCACGAACAGAAGCTGACGACCTTACCACCACGCCAAAAGAAGAACCCGGGGACCTCACTGTTACGTCACAAGCAAAAGCTGACGACCTTACCACCACGCCACGAACAGAAGCTGACGACCTCACCACCTCGCCGCAAACAGAAACTGACGACTTCAACACCACTCCAAACATTACCAAGCTAAAAGTAGAACCCGACGACGTCACCACTACGCCAAACGATGAACCCGACGACCTCACCACTACGCCAAAAGATGAACCCGACGACCTCATCATTATGCCAAAAGAAGAGCCCGACGATCCCACTACCACGCCAAAAGCAGAAACTGACAACTTCACCACTAGGCCAAAAGAAGAACCCGACGATCTCACGACCACGCCACAAGAGGCAACCGACGACCTCACTATGCCACAAGTAGACGACAACTTCGCCCCCGAAGCAGAAGACCTCTCCAGAAAACCAATCACCCTCGAGCTGTCCATTCCTCCAATTACGCCACAATCTGAACCCTCCACCTACCACCTCAACCTGGACCTTTCCCTTTTTAAATTTGAGTCGTCCCCTGGGAAGGAAAACATCGATCCAAATCCAAATCCAAATCTTACCCCACCCTCATCGCCAATATCTTCCTTCATGGCTCGCTCCCTCCCTCTAAACAACTCGCCCTTCTGTGAGAAGACTCGCCTGCGACAAATCCTCGGCGACATTACGCTCGACTCGATCTGTTCTCCGGAAAACTTTACGCCGCTCTCAACCCCAAAAGACGACGCCAAGAAATAACCTCAGAGTTTTCTTCATTTCAATGTGTTCCCTTATCTCACATATTTCTCCAATTGGTTATCTCAAAAAATATAATACAATTTTGTAAATAATTATCGTAATTTTAACCGTAATTAATTAATACCATCCCCAAATTTATCGTGTTCCTCGTGAAATAATGTTCTTACAATTAATTATGTTTTGTCCCCGTTCAGTTTCAGTTATGATAAAAACACTTATCAAACGTTGCTCTCTCTCTCTCTTTCTTTCTTTGCTGCAGAATTTATTTAATTAAAGTTTATTTAGGTATTTATTTAATTTAATGTGTGATAATGTTTATCAATACTACTAAATTTGTTTACACAAACACATTGGTTAGCAATGACATTAAAATACATGGTAGTTTTACTTAGCTTCAAATAAATATAGGTTTATCTAGTTAATTGTTCACCCATTCAATTAATTAAGAACATTAACCTTAAAATTCTTATTATACGTTAACTTTACACTTGTTAATTCTAGTAAATTTTAATAAATTTCTCTCGCTGTAAATATTTTTATGTCATTTTCATGAAAATTTCTCTCATGAAAATTTGTAACCTCAAAAACCCGTCGTCGTCACCACGAGAACCGATTTTTTCACAGCTTTTTCCGTCTGGCAAATCAAAATCAGACTCATTTCCAATTTCAGCGAGGTCAGAGCAGCATCTCGCCAATTTCATTTTCCACTCCACACTTATCTTCATCAACTTATCTTTCAATTCTACCAGTTATCATCTTCTTATCATAAATTATGGTCCGCCTTGGACTCGTCGCCCTTCTCGCGGTGAGTCTTGCTCTCGCCACGTCCACGTCGGGAAAAAGGGTCGTCTCGTCGGACAATGGAGACGGAGGAGAAAATTCAATCGAAGGGTTCGACAATTCTAATTCGGACGACAGATCCAACCACGCTCGACCACATCATGGCGGCAAAGGGAAGAAAAAGGTCAAAATTTCGTCCCCTGGGGACAATGATGTCGGCGGCGGCGGCGGCGATGCAGACGTAAATCGGCCCCCTGCAAATCTTCCAGTTCAACCGTCCCCGGCTCCTCTGGACGTCAAAAATGCCACGATTAATCCGGAAGATGTCGAATATCTGCCTGGCGGACCGAGCACTTTTACCGTGACGAGTTCAGAGGTGAGAAAAGGTCGTAATTCGTATGGTGGCAAATTAATTGACCTTTTCTTTCGTGACGTTGCAGGTCGGGCTGGCTTGGCCCAAGTTGCCGTGGCGAGAGAGGTATCAGTGGGCTGACCCGAATGCGCCGTGTCTCCCCTTCAAGCTTCAAGTTCCGGACGAACGGTCACAATTTTCGACAATAACGCTCTGCATTTACCGAACACACCTCGAGTATCAGGACGACACGGATCAATTCATTCGACGAGAGGAGGAGGTAAGGTCCAATAAAATTTTGTAAAATACAGGCTACATTCGAAAATTGTGCTCAATTTTCCCAAAATTGTAAAATTGTCGTAAAACGGTTGACAGTATCGTGGCAAAATATTTGTACGACCAGAAACAAGAATTTTTTGTTAACAGCTTTAAATGATTCTCAAAAATATGAAATTTTCGCCTAAAAATTATCCCACTTTTTAGGAAACTGAACTCATCGGAGAACTCAAGGAGCAAAAGGTGCACGGCTTCGTCGTTGGTCAGAACGGTTCCGCCGTGTATGGAAAAATCGTGGGGACTTCGTTCTACGGGGAGGTAGCCGTTTACGACTGGGAAACCAAGGAGGAAATCGTCTACGAAGTTGAAGAGATCAAACTTCTCAAGAAACTCATGCGCCAGAATGAAAAGATCCTCCGCAATATTCTCGCGGTCATGAGTCGCGGCGGAAATGGAGCCAGGGTAAGAACAAGATAAGGTTATCTCCATAACTAACTTGCATAATTAACGAATTGATTAACTAATTACAGTATAACGCTGTCGTAACGAAAGGAGCGTCCCTCATAAACTTCATGGCGGCCGTTAATCCGTCAGAATTCGTGCGCGGATCGTTTCTCGTCTTTTCGACCAACCGCAATTCTTACATTACTGCGGGCGAGCCACAAATGGAGGTGGATGACGATGGCGTTATCACGTTTAGTAAGATAAGCGCACGTATAATTAATTTGTAATGGGTGCAGAAGTTCATAATCTTATTCTTTTTTAGACGCGGGCGGAGATAAGATCATCATTGATAACGAAGGCCATCCCGCCATCCATTTGAAAAGTGCATAACAAATGAAATGTTTTATTTTACCTTGGCATTTTCTAAGTCCTGACCTTTCTAACTTTAGCCGGAACTGAGCGAGAATATGTTTTTCGTCCCAATGGCAAAACCATCGTGCAGGATGGGAATGATGTCGTCGTGTTGGAAGAACACGAAGGCGCCGTCGCCGTGTCTGCTTTTTCTGCCGATAATTCCTACGGCTGCATCCTCCCAACCCCGGCCTTCTCACCGCAACGGTAATGAAAATCAAATCATAACTGCTTTGTAAACAAGTTCACAAGTTCACAAAATATCTTATGCTTTACAAAAAAACTGGTTGCAAACTGTGTAAATTTTACTACGACGAATTTTCCGACATTTTTGCCCTTTGTTCACTGATCTTACAAACTATCTATTTTGCAAACGTATTTGTAAATACGTACTTGTGCCGTTCCAACAAATTTATCTTCAGTTCTCCAAATATCTTTAACCGATTCTAAAACATAACTCGTCTCATAAGCGTGCAAAAGTTGTGAGAAATCCCAAATTCGGAGAATTTACACTGCATATTTGTCCACTTATCTTATAAAATTTGCACACTTTGCAAATATTTTCTCAACTTGCCTGATATGTATTTTCCCCCTAATTTTAATTAAGACGAATTTTACTACATTTTAACCTTTGTGCACTTATCAAAATTTCTTGTTTGCAAACGTATTTGTGCTATTTTCTCAAGTTCATCTAAAGTTACGGCGTGGTTACGGCTTACAAAAAAATCATTCGTCTCATAAACTGTGCATAAATTGTGATAAAATTCCGATTCTCGGAGAATTACTACTCATTTTGTCTACTTATCTTACAAAATTTGCACACTTTTTCTCAAATTTGTCTGATCTATATCTTCCTCTTATCTTTTTAGACCGGGCGGTTACCTCTGCAAAGTCTGCCTCGCCGTGGACAAGCTATTCCTCGACAAATACATGTCCTTCGTCACTCCCCCCATCCGTCCAGCCCCCTTTCTTGCCCGCATTCTCGACAACGTTTCCTGGATTTTCCGCTCCACCGATTGGAACGGCGACGGCACTCCGGATAACATCGGGCTCGACTATGACCGTCAGAACGACAACTGGATCTACATCGACTCAGGCGAAGAATCTTTGGAGCACGACGAACTCGACATGTTGTACGGAAATCTGGCCCGCATGGACTTTTCCGACTGCTGTGTCGCCATCACTTACACGATGAAACGCTTCCCTGGCGCCATGTTCGCCAAGTCGGCGGCTGGAAATGGTAAGAATTTTCATAATTTTAGAAATCTTGGAAATTTTAAAATTTAATTTCCGCAGATAAGCGAATCAACGCGCATAACGGGGTGTGCGGAGGTCAAGATCAGGCCGGCTTATCGAACAATGTCATTCTTATCTCGGCCAATGCGAAGAAGGGCAACTTTTCCCGTATGTCGGAAGACCAATTGACCTACTTGACCGCACAACAGATCGGACGAGCCTTTGGATCCGCGCCGGATGGGTCGGGTGATGATTCTTGCGACATTTTCAAAGATGCTGAGGTACGTTGAAAAGGTGAAAGGTTACGAATTAAGTATGATAACCTTACGATTTTATTTTGTCAGGGTACCGAACGTCACTTCCTCATGTGGCCGGACGTCCTGAGAAATTACTCCATGGAGGAAAAAGTTCCCAGCAAGTGTTCCAAACTCCAAGTGACCAAGATCTTGTCGCAGTGCAAGTCCGCCTGTTTCGACATTGATAAGCACCCCTTCTGCGGAAATGGTAAGCATAAATAATTCACCTCAAACTGAGTAATTTTGCAAACATGAAATTTTCAAAATTTGGCTTATCTTAAACTTATCATATTTCCAGGAATTGTTGAAGAGGGTGAAGAGTGCGATTGTGGCGGAGAAGCGGAATGCGCCCGACAGAAATGCTGCTACTCACGCCTCGGACTCCACCCTTGTCGCAAGTCGGGAATCGGCTGCAAAAAGTCTGGCGCCACCGAGATGACCATCACGACCTTTCCAGCCTTCGCTACTCTTCTCGGCACCCTTTTCTTCACTGCATACTGAACTGACCTCAATTTCGACCCTTTACCTCACTCTCTCTCCCGTTATAATAATTGTGATATAATGACAATTATTCTCTAAATTATTTTGTGCTTTGTATTTATAAACCAGCCTTGTCATCCTAATTATTCGTATATAATTGTGCATTAAATTCCAAATTGTCATTTAATTATGTCGCATTATCTGCAGTTGTCTGTCTCATTTTCATGCGATACGAAAAATCTCAAAATGTTCGCTTTCCTGCCGCGAGTCGATTTGCCATGTGTTCATTCTCTCATCTCACAATCACATCACACATATTTTGTTGTTTAATTATTAATTAAAGTTAATTATTAAAATAATGGAAGTCCTCGTCACGACGGACCACACGCCCTCGTCGAACACATCCGTCACCATCTGGAATCCTTCGACGGGGACGAAACTACTGGCGTTAAAGGGACCTTGCGCCACGACAGGGTCGCTCGTCCTTCTCCGCGACGAAGGCCTCCTCATCGCCGAGGTGGGAAAACCCTTCGTTCACCTTTGGCAGGTCGGGAGTCCGTTGCAATCATCCCGAAGAATAATTTGTCCCGTGGGACAGCAAAAATTAGGTCCAATGACGGCCTCTCCCGACGGAAATTATATCGTGGTCGCGATCAGTGAGAAAATCAATGTGTGGCAGGTAAGTGAGAGGAAAATAAGTTTTACGATAGATAAGGTAAAAGATAACCCTGATTTTTTTGTATACAGCCTGCCACCGGCCGTGTCGTTGAGGTCATCTCGTCCGCACATTACCGACCCGTCACCGTTCTTCAGTTCACGGACGATGGAACTTATCTAATCAGTGGGGGTGCGGATGGTATAGTTTCTGTGTGGAGTTTCCTTAAGGTGAGTCGGCTTATCACTCGTACATACTTACGATGATAAGTGCTATTTAATTATTTTATCATCGATATTCACGTAAATTTTTAAATCTAAAGCTTAACTTTTTAACGTCCTATTTTTAATTAGCTCGTCTCCTCCGCCGAGACGAAACCAACGTATTCCTGGTCACACCACACGTTACCAGTGACCTCCCTCCATGTCGGGTCAGGCGGAAGGAAAGCGACCCTTTTCACCTGTTCGGAAGATCGCTTCGTTAAGATTTACTCCCTTTTGACGGGGTCCCTCGTACTCTCTGTCGCTTTTCCACAACCCCTCCACTCAATCGGGGTGGATCGTTTGGAAAGGTCGTTTTTTGTGGGGGGAGGCGACGGGACGATTTATTTCTTCAACTTGACAAACCCCCCGAGAGGGATGGAAGCTCAGGTCACGACGAGTGAGGATGCCGTCTTGAAAAAACATACGACGAGGTATGTAGTAGAGAAAGTGCATAATTAAATATGTTTAATTAACTTTTTTTCCCTTAAATAATAGAGTGACCGCCCTTTCTATATCTGCGGATGAGAAAAATCTCGCTTCTGGCGACTCAGAAGGGTCCATTTTCATCTGGGACTTGGAAAGTCGTCAAGCCATCAGAACAATTGGATCGGCAAGTTCCACTGGGTCGAAAGGGCCCGTCACAAATATCGCGTTTTGGCTCAATGACCCCGATTCCTTGAAGGGTGGGAGGAGTGGGAAAAAGCCGACCATTTTCTTCCCCGATGTTCCCAAGCTTATCGAAGGGAATGAGGATGATGCCGGTAAATAATGAAGTTATTTAACCATGCAATTACATAATTATTACGCCGTAATTAAATAGTTCTGCTTTTCAGACGGCGAAGAACTCATCAAAGTATGGAACAGAGTTGACCAAGGTGACGATTCTGATGACACCATGACCTCGTCATCATCATTATATTCATCTTCCAGTCGTGGTGGGGACAGCCTCGCGAAAATCAATCAGCTTAAAATGGACTTAGCCCAGGCGAAGGAAACCAACCGGAAGTTGCACGAATTTTGTGTTACTGATATCTTTAATAGGATTGAAAATAGCAAACATACCGACACCCAGTCCAACAAGAGGAAAAATAAAAGTAATAAGAAATGAAATTATGGGTTACATAATCAAGTTTAATATTTTTATGCTAAAAATTATACCATAAAACTTTTTATAAGTTAAAATATATCCGTTAAGACAAATAAGTGATTGGTTTAATTAATATTCATCTCAAACTTTATTAAACATTTGCATATATAATAATTACGAAAATAGTTTTAAGAGATTAGACTTTGAATCGATTTATCTTATTTTTTGCATGAATTTTACAATTTCATTCTTCAAGATTCAATACGGAATATGTCCATTTCGAAGTGATTTTTAACAAACCTGTCGACTATTTTTGCATGCCATTAATAATAACCTACTAAACCGTTTAAACTATTAATTAACTACTTAATTATCATGATTAATTACAGTTTCACAAATTGTAAGTCACAATACGAGACAAAAGATGTTGAGGCAAATTGAGATCAGTTTGCGAAATCTGTCAGCTTCATTTGTCTCGTCGTTTCTGTCAATTCCTAGAAATTTTAATAAATTTCTCTCCAATTAACTTATCATTTAGTTAAATACAAGAGGTAAATAAATATTAAAACAATTCATCCCCAACTTTAAACATACCACAATAATAATTAATCGTTTTAAAACACAACAATTAATACATTTAAATTATTAATTATTAATAATAATTTATTATTTTGTTTACACTTAATTTCTAATAGATCAATTAACAGAAAATGGCCCCCATTAAACCCCTCAGGGCAACCGCCGCGGCGACCGGGGCCATTCCAAAGACGCCGAAAGCATCTAAAAACGCTTCATCCAACAATCCCCAGCGAGGTCGACAGGTCAATAACAGTCTGACCGGCTCATTACCTAGAAGTTCGTTCCCAGTATTTCATCAATTTAATTACATCAATTAACTAATTATGATTAAAACCATGTTTAGATTCCAACCGAGTTGGAGCATCGCCTCGAAACTGTTTTAATTCAGCGACTGATCCACCCTCCGGAGTTGCTCGGGCCCTTCCAAAGTTGGACCTTTCGCCGGAAGAAGAGCTCCAAATTTTGGAACGATTAGAATCCGGTGATTGGACTCCGGCCGCAGGTTGGGCGCAGTTTTTGGACCCCATTCACGCCAAACGGGCCAATACGAGAACACCGGAACAAACAAGTTGTAGGAATTTGTCGGCTAAATTCGCCTCGGTGGATTATAGTTCCTCCACGATAACAAGTGGTATGTATGTATAAAAAGATGTAAAACATTTAAAGTTTATAAACTTATAGTTACCTATTATATGATACGTATTTATCTTAACTATGCCTTATCTATCTCTTAAATAGGATTTCCTCCCCAGGACGAAGACGACGAAGAAACCTACTCTGGTCCTGATCCCGATCTCCCCTTGTGGATGACTCGCCTCGATGAAATTATGCAAGCCGTCGATAACTACAAGGTTATCATGGAACGTACCACGAAAGCCATGGTTGACGCCCATTTCGCCAAAAACTTTCCCCCAGAGAAATTTAGTATGTCAAAAGATGATTTATTATAGCAGTGATACAGATAATAACATTATTTTTTAATTTTAGCAATTTTCGCCTCCGCGATGGACAATGCGATGGAATCCTTGAAAAAATTCACGGAAAATAATCTCGAAACGAATCGTCTCCTCTTTGAAACCGCCTCGTCGCCAAGTGCGGCCTACATTTCGTGCCCGGCTGAAGACCAGGACGCCCTGCTGCACGAGGTCGCCCAACTTAATGGACATTTGAGCAAAATTGAAAAATTTGTAAACAAGACGAACAAAAAGGTCAACTTGGAACATAAAGTGGAACGATATGTGAGTTTTATAATGATTCAGAATTATTAAGGAATTCAAACACGGATACAATTTTTTTTACCTCCAGAAGTTATTTATTTGCAAAATAAGATTTTTTTTCAAAATTCAGAAAATTTAAAAACATTATGCTCAGAAATTGCATAAATTACAAACACATAACTAAAAATTATCAAAAATTTCACTAATTATAAAAACAAATCATTTAATTACCTCCTTTCGTCATTAATTTGTATTAATTTACTTATGTTCAAAGAAAAGTTGTCCAAAGTTTGGAAACAAATGCAAAAATCCATCAATTATGAACACATAATTTAAATATGATCTTAATTTATTCCAGGAGGAATTAGTCAATCAATTTGACAATGCTGTCATCTCGGCGGGTCAACAGGTCAAAGAGCTCGAGACGCAGACCGACATGATGAAAGCATTTGTCAGCAAGGTCGAATACGACGACACGGCAGCGACGGCGGCTTCAGTCTTCTCGTCATCATTCTACCAGTAACGGATACGCTTATGCAAAAACAAGGCTCAAAACTTTTATACTTTTTCATACTTTAAATAAATAATACGTCAAATAATTAAGTAAGTACGTACAAATTTAACATGTATCGTGTTTTTTAAAGGAAGTGAAAAAATTCCGAGAAAAACGATAATGTTTTTCAATCTCAATTTCAATATACGCTTACACGAAAATAGGGCTTTATACTTTTTCATATTTAAAATAATAAGCAAGTCAATTAGCTAAATAGTAAGTACAATAACAATACAGTTACAAGTAACAATACATTAATAGATACATAAAGTTTTTTGAAAATTCCGAAAATATTTTTCAATTTTAATTTTCTTAATCATTTTTCACTTCATTAAACAATAGAATTTTGTACTTTATCCTTACAAAATTATAAAAATTGTATTAAATAATTTTTGCAAGTTCCGATTCTCAAAATTTTCAATTAAAAATTCGAATTTATTAATCAACAAAATTTCAAATCTAAATACACTTCTTTACATATCTACAAATATTCATTCTTAATTCATCCTCTATAAAATTCATCCCACATTTCATTCCCTCTTTTTCACATCACATTAAGTACTTAATCCATAAAAACAAAATAGTCAAACTTTCACCCAAGCATACATGCCCACTTTCTCCGCCCAGCTTTCTCCTCCTCCTCCGACTTAAAACTAAAAACTTTGTTAAATGAAACCCATCAATATTTATTCTTCGTTAAAATCGATAAAAACCAGGCTTTTCTCTCATTTTACTTACTTATCGATCTCTTGTAAAACCAGGATGTATTGGATTCAAAGTATTTAAATTATGAATAATATGCATCCATCCCCTTGTTCTCCTCGCTCCTTTCTTTTGTTTACCCCAAGTTTCAAGAGGGCTCAGAAAAACGGGAAACCAATTTCTTACACGACATGAATAGTATCGAAAATACGGAGAAATTCTTAATCCTGGGGAACGTACAGAAAGAATCTAGTATTTTTCTTTACATGGAGGGGTCAAATTTGAGGTCACATCCAGCCTGTCTGACCCCTCGCCCACCTTTCTTATATTTTCGAGTGGTGGACATACTTATGTAAATATTGGGTATTAAATACTTGATGTGATTAATTTGTTGAGCTCTCGTCTCGTCGGGACAATATTGTCCCGTGGGAGGATACCTGCACGCAATGAAAGCTATTCCTTCAAATATTAAGACGCTGAATTTCTCATCAACAGGTAAATAAATATCGACATTTGTGGTCGTGGCGTGTTTCTAAATACTTGTGGAAATGTAAAACACAAATGTTCAGTAAGTATTTTTTTGTCATGAATTTTTTATATGAATTTCTTCTCCTGAATTTTTTTTACACTGGTGAAACTTTCCCTTTCGAAATAAATTAGAAATGGCGAATTTATTCAAATTATTGGAAATTTATTAATATTTAAATAGATTTTGATCTTAATTTCCTGCCCTTTTTCTTCTTCGACTTCTTTCGCTTTTCGTCGCCCTTTTTCTTGTTCTTATTGGTTTCGTTGGAATGTTTAAAGGCGTCTGGGACAAGAAGAGCTGGAAGTGGGGTCACTTTATTACCTTTTCCTCCACCACCACCACTGCTGGTGGTGCTGCTACTGTTATTATTGTTGTTGACCTTATCTTCTAATTTATGCTTATCTTGGGTTCCGGTGGTATCTTCCTTTAATTTGTCCTCTAACGGTTTTCCACTCGTTTCTCGGAGCAAGAGGGATAGCAACGCGCCCAGAAATCCTAACGTTCCAAAGGCAAAAAGAGGGAGAGAGGGCCATTCTAAAGAAAGGAATGAGACGAGGTCAAGAACCTTAAGTGACCTCTGCACTAAAATATTATCGGTACAAACTTGTCCCTAAGCTCTGGTGACGATTTTTACCCAATAATTCTTCAAGAAATTTTAGTTCTGACTGAGGTAATTTCGAATCATTTCCACAATTCGGTAACAAAATGACCCGAAACTACGGGGCAGAACATGGCTTTGAATTTCCGGGGTCACGCCTTAACACGCGATGACCTTAAGTGACCTTTGCACAGGGAATAACCTGGTAACAAAATTGATTGCCCCAAAGGTTCTGGCGAAGATTTTGGGTAAAGATTGTGAATTTCGTGAATTTCCAAGTATCAATTCCTAAAATTCGGTGACCTATCGGATAACATACACTACTAAATTAGATAAGACCTTATCTACCACTCACTCGACCCAAGATACGCAATCTGCGGTGCAATCATCCCTCCCAGCGTTGAACTCACTCTCGACACGCCAAATCCCATCGTACGAATTGATACGGGATACGATTCCACGGTTAAAACTCGTACCGCAGATCGCGCCCCTAAATTAAAATATTGTCAAAATAATGGATAACGTCTTATCAATCACGCCTTCTTACCCGCCACACACATCTTCCCGAGAAGGATGAGCGGGATGAAGATCGACTGATAAGCCCCTGGCGGACTGAACAGTTGGATAAATCCGACCGGAAGAAAGAACAAGGCGGAAATTCCGGTGAAGGCGAGCAGCGCTTTGCGACGTCCCAATCTATGGATTGGATAAGATAAGCGCATGATAAGCACAAGAGTGTGAGTGTAGGAAGATTGTCACCCATAAAAATAAGGAAATTAAGTTGCAAACATTTAACACTTTACTAGTTTTAACGCCATTAAAATAATTGCAAATAAATAATAAATTAACAGTTTTTAATTAGATTTGGTCAATCAGAAAGGGCAAATTTTTCTGTACCAAGGAGTGAGATTTTCATTTTTCAAAAATTTTAAAACACCAACCAAGTAAATATCAAAATTTTTACGGCTTTTTTATTGCAATTCTTCGCCACATAATTTTAAAATTTCGGAATTTTTCACTCGATTTGCAGAAACTTTAGACACGCCATCATGTCAGCGCCCTTAGCCATGACCGGGATTCGCCATGTTTTTTAACTCCAAAGACCATAATGAGTTGCATTCTTAAAAGACAATCTTTTGCTCAGATAAGCCCTCAGATAAGCCCCTCACCTATTATTTACCAACAACGCTGCCCTGAATCCTATCGCGTCCACGCCCCCCATCAGCACCGTCATGAGGTAGGGATCCACCCCAAAGTTCCGAATGTTGTAGCTCAGCCCGAAGTACGTGAACGCCCAGCAGAACCAGATTCCGATGAAGATTAACGTTTTCCGGCGGATGCTGGGGCGACGAAATAGGTCGAGATACGAGTAGCGCACCGTGGCGCCACCGCCGGCGGCGCGGCTCTCCTCGTCGCCAATCTCTTTCAGCACAGCGACATCCCGCCGCCGCAACTTGCGCCCGTTTATCCTCGCAATGTACGAGAGGACGGAGGCCGCTTCGGTGTAACGTTTCTGACGGAGAAGCCAGCGTGGTGATTCGGGCAGGAATCTGGACATGGACAAATTAATAGGTAGCAATATAAATTGCAAATATTTTCAGACATAGTTTTGCCTTAATTTTTTTGCAAAACGTAGTTGAATTTAAAATAAAAACTTTCCCGATTCACTCATTTAAAATCTTTTCCCACATGTGCAAAATCCTTTATGAATTAAATTCGTAAAATATTCTCTTATTTAAATTTGCAAAATTATACTTGTAAAATGGTTTCCAACTTGGCCAAAAAATAAATTATACTTGTAAAATTGTTCTTGAATAAAAAAAACTTTCCTGTTTCACGCTATTGAAACCTCTCAAATGTAGAAAATCATTTATGAATTAAATTCGTAAAATATTATTTAAATTTTTTGCAAAATACTAATTTTTTGCAAAATACTAGTACTTCCTAGTTTAAGTTTGCAAAATCTTTAGCCAGACTTCCGGTTCACCTAAAATAATTTATGTGTATCTTTACTAAACTTGAAATTCTTTTGTGACTTCCAACTTGGCCAAAAAAAATCGTAAAACTTTTGGAATTACAAAGCTATTTATTAGTAACAAATTTCGAATTTTCTTATAAAACTTTTGACAAACGATTTCCTTACGGATAGACGAACAAGACAGTGACGAAGGGGAACGTCGTGGCCCAAAGGAGTAGACGCCAAGGTCGGATGAAATATGCCAACACGCCCAGAATCATTAGACCCTCGCCCTATAGAAAAGTTAACAGCTTTTTAAAATACAAAATCTTATCAAATTGCACGCAAAAAGTTTCTGAAGTTTTGAATTTCTTTCAATTTCACATAAAGAAAAACTATCAAGTCACCATTTTTTAGCCCTTGATACAAGTTGGATGCAAAAAAAAATCATGTATTTCACATTCGTTTCAATGTATGAAAAAATAACTTTAAAATTCAGGATCACTAACATTAAAAAATTTCTTAATTATTTTTTGAAACATAATTTTAAAATTTCCATATTTCAAAAACCATCATATTGTACTTCTTATCTTGGAGTAACTAAACCTAATTGTAATTTAAATAGTCCACATTTGAAAATTTGATTTCTGGCTTAAAAACTTTACATTTACATTTACTAATTTTAAATTTCCCAAATCGTCCTAATGCAAAAATTACAAATTTTTAGATTTACGAGTTTAGATTTACCGAAACGCTAATTTAAGGTGAATTTCCTTGTGATAAGTTTGCACAAATTCGTAGCCTGAATTTTGATGTGAATCTAGTAAATCGTTAATTATGAACATTTAAACACTTTAAATAACCTAAACTTTCGTCCCAATTTGATTTTTGGAAATGTTTAAACATTTCGTACACGATTTAGGACATTTCCTAACTTTGCATCAAATAAATAAATTTACTATTGAAAAATTATGGATTTCACGTCAACTTTGTAACTACGTAACTGCGTCAAGTTTGTAAGGTTACACATTCTTGACGTGAGTTGAGTTTGTAGCTTATCAGAAATTTTTTTGCAAAAAAAAGTCGCGTATGTGCAATCTTGATTTCAACTGAAAATGCAAATATCAAATACTTGAATTATTTACGAACTCTTGTTTACGAATCGACAACTGCTTTGTTTTTTAAGTGCGTAAATTTCGTAAAAGTTCTTAACTCAAATTTCCTTAGAAATGCATGTAAAAGTTTGTAAGCTTACAAACCTTACACAGTTACGAAGGTTACAAACGCTGGCGTGAAACGTTCCCTCAACTTAATTAACCCGAAACCTATTTACAACTTCGAGCTGGTCAACCCTTTTAAATTTCTTGCCTGGGTGGAATTAAATATTAAACCTTTACAAAATTAAATATCTCGCTTAAAACGCTTAATAAAAACGCTTTTTACAACAAAACTGCATCACTCAAATCCATTCAATTTCTATTAGTTTTTTTATACAACTAAAAATTTAAAAAATTATACACTTACAAATTCCAGATTATTTTATTTTTCAAATTTTGACCCAAATTTTGGGGAAGAAAAAAGACTAAGACTTTTGAAATTACTGCATAATTATTCAAAAAATTATGTAGGAATACAATTTTATACTTCTCAAACCCGTTTTTATCATAAATTTTACATATTTATGAATTTAGAAAACAATTGAAACAATTATTTCTAATTGTGCTAAGTTTTAAGTTTTAAAACTGCCATTGAAAAGTTAACATCAGAGATCCGAGAGATGCGTTATCTGACTGAAATTTACTGGTTTGAACATTTTATACGGGATCCAAATTTTATATTTACAAAATTGTATTTTTAACGCTACATCTTATACTAATCATTATATTTTTTCCAGGGATTACAAAAATTGTAAGAAAAGTTGTAGTCATATAAAAAATTCAAAACTTTAATAATCATATTTTGATCCATATTTTGAATTTAAAAAAACTAATTTATTTTTAATCGGCCCATTTTTTTAACTAATTGGACAATAATTTTATACAGTTTTAAATTTTTCAAATTAGTTTTTAGACAAGATTTTACACATTTTGGAAATAATTACAAGAATAATTTTCAATTTTTAAACAAAGTTAAAGAAATTAATACCAATTTCTGATCCAACAAATCTAATTGTTAATGAAATCATTTGAAAAACTTATAAATATTATCTGGCTTAAAAACTAGACAAAATTTAGTTTAACTTGTCTGCAATTAATTTCACAAACCATTTAAAAAAGGCAAATGTTATATCGGGCAAAATATTTTGCTTTTTCATGTCGCTAACAAAGTACACCTGTCAAAATTCAGGATAAACCTTGGTAAAAATCACGTTTCAATTTCAATTTTTCCAGTTAAAAACTTGACAAAATTTTATACTTATTTCTCAAATCGTGGTTTTACAAAAGTTTAAAATGACAATTCAACCAATCACAATTTTCCAATCAATTAAACCTCTCCTATAAATTTATTTTGGGGTTACAGTGACATTAATTTTGGCATATTTATTCCTCTAATGGTAATAATATCTCGCGAAAAATTCAAATATTTCAAACTTTTTTTATTTCCTGGATTACAACCTTTTAGAAATTTTACACTTCTCAATTTTCCTTTTAATTCGAAATGACATGCTAATTTTTTTAAATTAATTTTTCGTGCTACAAATAGCATTAGCATAATTATGAACACCGAAAATATTATTCAGCAAATTAAGCTACTTAATTGCAATTTGTATCGAACAAACAATTTAAAAATTTAGTTGTATCAAAAACGTGCAAAATATGTAACGGATATTTTTCGGATCTATATAGTTTAAACCACTTCAAAAACTCCAAACTATTTTATTTGGGATAAAAACTTGACAAAATGTAATTTAAAAATTCTTAAATTAATTTCACTTTTAGCATCCCTGTCAAATATCATGCTAAATATTTAGTTTTTCATTTCATTAAAAAATACACATCCAAATTCAGGGTAAACCTTGGTAAAAATCTCATTTTAATAATTCCTTAACAATTTCGGAGATTAAAACTTCAAACTAAATTTTATATTTGTTAAGTCGTGATTTTAAAGAATTTCAAAAAGTAAATTCAACCCATCAGATTTTTTCAATCTAGCAAACAACTCAATTATTAATTTCTTTTATACTCAGCAACACATTCATCTAATGCCAAATATTAAAGAAAAGAGTATTGTTGAAACGAGCGATTTAATAATATGCAAAATATCTCTTTTCTGAAATTTGCGATTGTTTCCAATTTTCTATCTTTATGTTTTTAAGTAATTTTCCAAATTTTTCTAGTTTTTCGTGACGTTAAAACATCCGAAATGAATGCGAATTAAAATTACAAATGATTCCTCATAATTTTCACCCATAGATATATGTATATTGTCAAGTTCAGTATGCTAATTACAAATCTACGTTTTCACATTATTAGAGTTGAGTCGGTTAGCAACTTTTCTGATTTATCTGAACCGAACCCGAATTTTTCGGTTGAAAAAATATTCATCCGAACCGGATCCGAATTTTTCGGTTGAAAAATATCCATCCGGTTCGGACGGATACTTTATCTAAAAGTCAGACATCCGAATCAACTCTGCTCATAAGACATAGATTTCGTTATTATATATACTGCTGAACACCCATCTTGTTGAACTTAAACCGCTTATTGATTCACATAAAATATTTTGCTGGTCTTTAAACTTTACAAAAATTTAAACTTCTTAAATAGCAGAAATAGCTTTTTTAAATGTGCTTCTAAAAAAATCTCTAATTTTAACTTTCAAAAATTAAATTTCTTACCAAAGGACCCAAACAGCCGCCGAGTTGACGCCATCTCGGCGTTAAGAATTCCATCGTATAAATCCCATTTAGCGAAAAATATCCTAAAATTCAATTCTTAATTATGATAGGTTAAATATTATTTTGTATGGATAGCTTGTTGATAAACCATTAAACGCTTATCGATAAATCATTAATAGCTTATCAGAGGTGGTCAAAATATATTTTCCAAAATCCAATATTCTTTAGCTCCATTCTTCCTAAGGGCATGGATTTCGGAGGCTGCTAAGAAAAAAGTCGAGAATCTACATGAAGAAGGAAACACTCACATGAAAATGCAAGTTTTCTGATTAAATTAACTTCTGGTAACACTGTAAAATCCGTAAATTCTGTAAACTTTCAAACTTCTACAAAATTTTACAAAATTTCTGAAGAAAATTTGCTTCCAAATTTTTGTAAACTTGGTCAGATCAAGGGAGTTTATTTATTATAGCTCGTAAAATTATCTTACAAACCGCACGGATTTTACAAAGTTATCAAGCTCTGCGTGACTCACTGTTTTCACGATTTAAAAATACAAGTATTTTGACCATGATAAAATGTAAATTTCTTAAAAAAATATCGATTTTAGCTCAACTTCTGCCTTTTTCCATGTTGATTCTCATCCTTTTTAGCTGTACAAGCTCGTGAAGAACGGATCTCAAAATACTAAATCTTCTCAAAATATTTTGACCATCTATGTTCCTTATTTGATCACATCACCTGCCAACCCGATCCCGCAGATGAATCTTGCCACCGCAAAAACGTACGGATTCGGCGCCACGGCGGAGACGGATTCGCCCACCGTCATGAGAACCATGAGGCCCAAAAAGGTCACCTTTCTCCCGTACCAGTCCGATATCTGGGGCGGAATTGTGTTCCCGAAAAACATCCCGAACATCTGAATCGTCGTGATGGACGCGGTCACCCAGGATTTGGAGCAGATCAAATCCCACTAGAGAAAAAAATCAGTAAAAAATTATAGGATGCCGTTCAAAAACGGCGATCACAAAATTTAATGCGATTTTTTTTTTGCAAAAATATTGGATACTTGAGTAAAAATTCGATGGATTTTGTGACAATTAACAGTTTTTAAGTAAGCGAGAGTATACATAATCAAGTGTGAATTTTTGCAGCAAATCTAAAGTTTAGACGCCAAAATAAAATTTTCTGAAATCCTTAATGCCAATTCGTTCTTTAGATTCTTACGTAAAAAATGATTTTTTACAATTTTTTAAAAATTAATTTTAATATTCCCACTGGGAATATTAAAATATCACTGGGAATTTCAGTGATATTTTAGGAAAATTTTATCATAGCAAAAGCATAAATAACGAGAAACTACATATTTATTTCTATGTTGCTGCGATTGTGCACTAAATTATTATTAAACGCGATTATTCTTGAATCAATTTAAATTCTTTAATTATTTATTCTCAATAATTGTAACGTTAACGTGTCAATGTGAGAATTGATTTAAAATTTTGAAAGTTTGTCACTTCGTTTTCATTATTTTTAGCCATTTTGTGTACCTTTTTTTGCAATTAATTGATAATTTTGTGTAGCAGTTCATGTCGTATATTTTGCCAAAATTTCACTAGGTAATGATTTAGGTGAAGGTTTTCGTAAAAATTAAATACGATTTCTTACAACAATTGTAAAGTTTATGTCAAAATGAGAATTTTTTAAAATTTGTAATCCATATATGATATTGTTTGAAGATTGGTAATAATTCGGGATTTACGGTTTTGACCAGGTATACAAATTTGTTATTTAGATTCGCCGTTTTTTGCGAATTTTTCACAAAATTCGCAAATAATTTTATAAATTAATTTATGTGATATTTAATCCCAAAATCTCACTGGCAATCACAATTATTTAGGAAAGTGCGATTATAATTATAACTCCTAGGTTTAATAAGAGTTTGTAAAGTTTTCGTGCCAAATTGATATTTTTTAGGCCTTTTAAGATGGCCTTATAGATTTACCAAGATGTCTGTCTGTCCGTCCGTCTGTGCGTCCGTCTGTGCGCACGATAACTCTCTTTAAACAAAAGCTATCGACTTGAAATTTTGCACACTTCATCTTCGGGTCAAAAGTAAGGATGAGTTCGGAGATGGGCATGATCGGTCAAGTAATTGGCCGGTGGGGGTCATTTCCATCCAAATGCGTTGCCCTTAACTACCAAGAATCTTTAGAGCAGGTTAAATTATTTAAGTGTAAGTAAAATATTTGTAGCTTGAGAAATATCTATAGTAATAATTTTAAGTAATTTTAGTATGAAGATTGCGACTGACCTCAAAGCGTTTAAATTGGAGTGGAGTTTCAGAAATTTTAAACCTGGGAGACCCGATAGGGTGACCCGACGGATTTCTAAAATTTGTAGTAGGTAGTTGAAATTTGGAACAAAGGTTGCTAGTGGATTGTAACAGACAAAAATGAATTTAGGTTGGAAAAATTTTAATCTTGATGGACCCTATGGGGTGACCCATACTGATTTTTCAAAATCGTCATATCGAAGTGAAATTTGGGAGAGAGGTTGCAAATGGGTCTTAATGGAACAATATGAAATGAAATTGGTAAAATTTATATCTGATGCGGTTATCCATATCTATTTTTAGAAATTGCGTTAAAAACATGAAATCCGGCACGGTAATACTTACAATTAGTGGCTTCTCATCAAAGAATTTGAAATTAAAAGTTAGCTAACAAGGGATACTTTCGAGGTGATAGTCGTGTCCAGGGTACCACTCATTGGTCTAAATGTTTTTTGATCGAGTGTTTCTCACGGGTTCGGGTTCTTACTTCGGGTTTCGGGTTCGGATCGGGTTTGGGTCCTGCTTCGGATACGAAATTTTTGAACCCGAAACTTTCGGGTTCGGGTTCGGGTCCGAGAAATGTGATCCCAAAATTTCGGGTTCGGGTCGGGTTCGGGTTCCGACTAAGAACCCGAAACCCGAACCAACAAGAACTTTTTGCCACAACGAACACGAAAACATTAAAAAAGAAAATAAAGTGTTAACCAAACTTGCTACGACGGTTATGCTGCAGTAATTCATTAAATAATTCAAATTTTTAATTGTCGTAACTTCTTTTCACAAGTGTCTTCAATTAGTGTTATGGTTTGAATATTAAAATAAAATATATTTTTTATCAAAAATTTGCAAAATATTTAGCTTGAGCTTACTTTAATATTGGAAACTTGAAACTGAAAATCATTTTCAGTTTTCAACTGATTTAAAAATTTCTGAATGTCACGGAAAGCCATTATTCATGGTCGATTTTTTGAGATTGCATTATTATGGTCAAGGAATTAAGAGTTATGTACTTATGCAGAAATGTGCTTAATTATAATTCCTCGGTCATATTTACAGAAGTATTGTTTGTTTGAAACCTTCCAAAGAATTTTTAGCTAAAAAGCCAGTCACCCCTTAAAGTTAAAATATATTCGGGTTTTTCGGGTTCGGGTTTCGGATTTGATCCGCCAGTTCGGGTTCGGATCGTTGCAAACGGGTTTCGGGTTCTTCGGGTTCGGGTTGCCCTCAAGTTTCGGATCAGTGGCATCGGGTTCGGGTTCGGGTTTCGGATATGCAAGAACCCGACCCGTGAGAAACACTAACCCATCTTCGAACTCGGTCGATGCCCAGATGCATGTCTGTATCAAATTTGGTAAAATTCAGCCTACTCCTTCGAGAGTTATGGAAAGACAGACAGACGGACAGGTCGATTACATAAGCCCTAGTCCGGGCTAAAAATTATATGCCAATCGTTCATTAGAGTCTGGCTTTTATGTAATAATGCCGTCTTAAAAGGCCCCGCAAAGTTGCTTGGAGTAGGTTTTTAATTTGTAACCTGTTTTAATTATCAAAGAAGATTAACGGTCATCTAATCAAGTAAAATTAGATCGATTAGATGGATTCATAGGATTTTGTTTTGACGACAACTTATTTATTCTCGAATAATCGCTAAATTCCCAGAAATTTAGTGTTCAAAATTTCCTCATCAATATTTCCTAAAAATTTAATTCACTTCTTACCTCCGCCACGATGGTGTACGGAGGGGCTGACCGAGTTCCGTTACTGCAAGCTGTGCAAACTTCACTCGACGTCATCATCGTGGTGTGAACAATGGAGGATAATGATAAGTTGTTATCGCTAACGTCCATTTCAAAATCGCAATGCCAAACGGCGGGGACGCCACCTGTTTCGGAAATAAAATCATGAAAAGTTACATATGCAAAAAACATGGGATTGAAAAGAAGTTGCAAAAATCCATCAAAATTGGTAATTTCTCCTCCATTCTTCCCCCATCTGATTATTTACAAGTTTAATTATGCACCAGTCATAATTGTTATAAGCGGATGCAAACTATACAAAATAATTGAAAAATTTATAAACTCTTCAATAGTATACAAAGTGAGAGAAAATTATGTTTTCCTTGATTTCGATTTGCATGCTATGAAAGAAATTGCAAAAATTCATAAAAATTTGCCATTTTATTTTCAAACCGTTGCTGACCTGAGTATAATTGTAATTACCCAACAGTTATAATTTCCGCATATGGGATTCAAAATGGTCAAGAAATATGCGAAATATGTAATAGGGATGACATTTGGTTTTTGATTTTTCCTGAAAAATTTATAGCGAACGGAACGGGAATTGATGTTATATTATGATGCAGCATATGTTGGTGCATGTGCATGCCAAATTTCGCATCTCTAGGTCAAAGTTTAAAATTTCACATGAATCAGTGCAAAAGTAGGGAAGAGCGCGTGCACGCTCGATTCCCAGCAAAACAGGACTTTTTGTCCGGGCCAGAATCCCACTCAACATCAGTACTTTTGATAAAAAAAAGTAAAAATGTGAATTTTAGGTATTTTTAGACAAATTTAAATTTTTAAGTTCAACTCCCTGAGTATAGTCTTTATACTCCAATATTTTTAACGTTTTCGTGTAACGTGGTGAAGTTATTGTATTTTTTTTAATTGAATTTTTTATCGTTTTACAAATCACAGAGTATAAAGTCATTACACGTAATTAAAAAAACGTGGAAAAACCTACATGTGTTTAAATATTGTTGAATATTTGAAAATTAATTTGCTGGAGTAAAAACTTGACAAATTTTAAATTTTCTTAAAAATTTTACAGTATAAAATTTCAAGTTTTTTGAAAAATTAACTGGTTATGATATTTTGATACTAAAATAAACTCCGTTTCACTCTATCGTGGAACGGAGTTTAACATGAGAACTGTCCATCAGATGGCTTTAAGTATAAAATTCTATAATAGTAAAAAATAGCTTTAATAAACCTGGTAAATATTTGATCACAAGAAAAACTGTTTGTAAAAATGATAATGAAAATAAATAGAATCATTAACCAATAAAGAAGTCAGTTCAGTTTTTTTTAATTTCCTGTCCGAAAATATACCTAAAATTATTGTATTCGTAAAAAAAAGTACTTTTCTACTACGGACGCCAAAATGTAACAACTATTTTCAAGCGCAGTTTTAAATCATTCAGAACAAATTATCTGTATTGAGACAATTCACGTCAACCTTTGATAACCACGTAAACTAATGTGCGAGACTTACAAACTTTTGACGAAACTTAGGAACACATCGAAGGCAATTTTTGCTTCCGGTGTTACAAAACCTTACGAAGATGTGAGGCATTTTTTTTAGTTTGCTGATCTTCATAAGTTACGAAGGTTGACGTGAACTGCCTCATAATTTCGTGACCTTGACCTAACGACTTTGAACCTTTTCCCTTGTCATGCCACATTTTGTTTATTTCAGGGTCTATATATTTAAGACCCAGGAAAGGTTTTGGGAATTTACAGATAAATCGGGTTTCCCATCAATTTTGTCTTCTATATTAGAGCAAATCTCAACTTGCTCTACAGGGTCTGGCACTTTGGTGGATACGAATTTGACCTTGAATAACCCCAGAACAGTTTGTCGTAACGGTTCAAAATTTTGAGCAGCGGAGCATGTTATCCTCAAATAGTTGTGTGCAAAAATTCAACTCTCTACTTTCAAAAATGCCTCCCCCACAGCCCCCAGAAGCTGAGACAGTAATTTCAACTTGTTCTAGAAAAAATCTCGCCCGTGTTTGCAAAAAATGTTATTTAAATTTTCTGTTCAGGAATAAGAGTGCGTTATTGGTGACAATTGACGAAGCACTATTTTCCCTATAAAATACTAATTGGGTCCGAAGAGCTTACTACACGACAAATGCCGAAAAAAATCAAGGAATTTGGTGCTTTTCATTGAGGAGAACTTTTGTAAACAGTTTATGGTTGTGGGTGCAATGTCGGGCCGTGGTGTCCTCCCACCTATCAAAGTTCCCCAAAAAGTGAGCGTATCTGCAAAGCACTATGTGGACCGTGTATTAAAACCACTTTTAGAATAATATTTTCCCAAATAGCACGGTAAAAAAATAAAGAATGTGATTTTTCATCATGACGCAGCGTCTTCATAAACGGCAAAGTTGACCCAAGATTATGTAAATGACCTTGAACCTAGATTCGGGATAAAAATCACTTCGAATAGTGAAATACCTGTAAAATGCCCTGACATAAGTCAAATAGACTTTTTTGGGTTCTAAGACTTGAAAATAAATTTTTTTCTGCTGAGACCGAATTTTTTAGCCGGAGTTTGGAAAAAGTTAAAATGACTGTCTCAACTTCTGGGGGCTGTGGGGGAGGCATTTTTGAAAGTAGAGAGTTGAATTTTTGCACACAACTATTTGAGGATAACGTGCTCGTCTGTTCAAAATTTTGACCCGCTACGACAAACTGTTCCGGGGTTATTCAAGGTCAAATTCGTATCCACCAAAGTGCCAAATCCTTCTGTAATGAAGTTGTAAAAAAATATTGAGGGTATTCGTTATTTCTTCCTATCCGTAGTATCGTAAAATAGTTTACGAAGATAAAACAAGGGGTCAGCTTTCGTAAAAATCGTAAGCGTAGTAACGCGATTTTCGATGAGAAAATCTTACGACGCTTACAAAATCTCGTAAGCGTCGTAAGTTATTTTACGATACGAAGAATACTAAGGATACGAAGAAATAATGAATACCCTCATTGTTTAATCTTGCACGAAATTTTCAGACATCAATATTTTCCCTATTATTTGAAAAATACGTAAATCTTTAAGATGTTTTTTTTAGAGCATTTCATAAATATTTTAACGATATTAGGCACATTTTTTGAAGAAATTTGACAATAAGGAACACTATATTCACGTCATTACTTTTATGTTTTTTTCGTATAATTTCGCTAATACGTATTTTGACGGTTTAAAAAAAATATTAGATGGATATTTCAATGTTTTTTCGTAAATATGTATCTACAAATCCGACCGCTGATAATCTGCCAATTTTAATAACAAGAATAATTAATTTCTTACCCACAAAGACCGGAACGAATGCCAAGAACCCGGAAGGAATCTCATAAAATAGCACAAATAGGAGAAGTAGGCCTTGAAATCGGCCAAATCCACCTGCACAAATATTTGTTTAAAAAAATTGAATTTCCTTCTCATGAATTTTTGAAATATCCAAAAAATATTACCAATCTGTTCCAAAACATCTTCGAACGTCTTGGGTAAATTTTTACCATCGTCAACGTCAGATTCCGCCTCGTAGTCGAGATGCTTCTTCTTTGTCATGATTTTCTCGAAGAAATTAAGCCAAATTTATGTTATGCAAATTTCTTTAAAATCTTTTTGCTAAAATTTCAGTGGTTTTTGCAACAAAATTGCATGCAGACTATGCAATGTGTGGGATTTAAAGCGTCCAAAATTTATCCCAAACTAAAACTGGGCAAGTCACTCGAATTTATTTTGCTAATTTGTTTTGCAAAATTGCAGTTTTTTGCCAAAATTTCTATTTTTGCCACCAACAAACCGAACCCAAATGTGTCCCAAAAATTTCGTCCAAAATTTTTATTTCCAATTTATTTGCAAAATAAAATTTGCAATAATTTTTTTTGCAAACCTACTTATCCCACTGGCTAACTAACCAAGAAGTCGAATTAGGGGATTCAAACTAACCGAAAACTGGGTGACCTGCCTCGTAAAAAGCAAAACCAGTCCAGGATTCATACTGGTAATAAAAGTAAAATTGTCTCCCCGTGGTTGGTGAAAGCGACCCAATGAATTAATTGGTGAGAAGCAACCTTGAGACGGCAAAAAATGATGGAAGGCATTCCAAAATAATGGATTTCGTGTGTCTCGTGAAAATATGTACACATGTGAGACCTCACCCATTAAGAACGTCACCCAAGATTTGGTTTCATACACTTTTTGCACATTTTTTGTACTGGCAAAAATTTGCAAAAAGATTAGCTTGGAAATAGGAGCTTTTTTGCAGCAAAATTCAGGGTTTTCCAAATACAAAAAAAATTATTGCGTCATGGAACACAAATTTCCATAAAGAACGTCACCCAAGATTTGATTTCTTTTTAACCTTTTTCCACATTTCTTGCACGGCGCTTCAAGAAATCATAGTAAGACATGCAAATAATTAGCATGGGAATGAAAGCGCTTATTTGCAACAAAATTCAGGATTTATGATATGCCAAAAAAACGTATTGCGTCATGGAGTACAAATTTGTACCAGCTTCTTTTTATCAAAAAGTTTATAAACATTTTGTGCTAATAAAATTGATTTTGAAAATTTTTAAACTTTGCCAATGACAAAGTTGGAAAAATGACAAATTGTCATGTTTCCACTCCAGTCCTGAGGTTAGGAAATGTTAAGAATGTTGAGTAATTAATAGGTTAGTAAGGTCCCATTCATGCCCGTTTCTGATCAGAAAATCAAGGATAATTCCCCCAAAAAATTTTTGTTTCAATTTTTCGGCAAAATTTTAGCTGAAAACAGACCGACAAATTTATAAAATTAGTTTGCAAATATTTAGGAAGCTAAATTTGCTAAATTCGCGTAAGCAAATGTACATAATTTCTGCACGGCCTCTTCCCGTAGTAAATGGCATTATCACATATCGTACGTAATTTGATTCCTCCTTAATTTTCACTTTATAGCGAAACTGCATTTCTTTCCTCTACCTTCAATTGCAAAAGTTACGTGATTGATGCTTACGCGATGAATTAAAGATGCCCGACATGATTCTCGCGTGTTGTTATATAAGTCGATTTACGTGTAGTAATCAAGTCCAAAAGTGGACACAATTTTGCGTAAGAAAATTGGAGAGGTGGGCTAAATACTTGGTCAAAATTATTCAAGCAATGCTTAGTAACTTTGTAAAATGCACAAAACCCGTAGATTTGCAAACTTTTACAAAACTGTAGAAATATTTTGAAGGAAAATTAGCTCACAATTTTTCCAATTAGTCCTTACTCCAATCTCTGTATTTCGTAAAAGTGTATAAAATTAGTTTACAAAGGTTATCAATTTTAGAAAGTTACCAAGGACTCATTGTCAGTCAATGAGATCTTGTATGCAAATGTGATTAACCGTTCAAATACGGATGATGCCATCCCCTTTATCTTGTCGCTTTTAAAAGTATTATCGATTTAAACACAAATTTTTGCTGACGTGTAAACTTTACAAAAGTCTAAATTTCTTAAACATCAGAAAACTTTATATATTTCGAAAAAAAAAATATTTCGAAAAATCTCAATATTTTCTGCCAAAGGACCCAAACACCCGTCAAGTTGACACCATCCCGGCGTTAGGAATTCCATCGTGAAAATCCCGTTTATCGAAAAATATCTTAATATTTAATTCATCACAATGCATTAAATGAAATATAAATCGGCACTTATTGATCATTAATCGTTTATCCAGAATTTATCAAAGAAGTGGGTACCACAGTCACAAAAAAGGTAGAAAATCTACATGAAGAAGACAACAGTCCTACGAAAAGTCATGTTTTATGAATGAAATTAACTAATTGTTTTCGCGATAAAAAAAATATACGTATTTTCATCGAAAAAAGATAATTTCTTCACAAACAACATGAATTTTCATTCGATTTCTGTGTTCTCCACGTAGATTCTGTTTTGGGGGCTTTAACAGCTTTACAATTCCAAGTCCTTGGAAAAATGGAGCTCAGAATACGGATTTTTTTCAAGTATTTTACCCACCTTTGCACCACATGTAGCTCCATTTATGCTTCACTTTCTTGCTAACTAATGCCATTCTGAAACTTAGCATTTAACACAGTCGCAGGCACCTGAAGTATAAACACAGTTCGAAGATAAGGACAGTTTCAACTGACAGGAGAAGCTTCTCCCCACGCGTTTCTGGTCATAAATTCAAGAAGAAATTGTGCGTTTTGTGCGTCCATTTTGTTTAAAAATGGTCACATCCTTACCGTGCTGTCAATCAATGTTGGGAAAAATAGGGACAAAATTGCTCCAGAATTGCAGAAACCGATGCAACGCCATTTTTTGCCAAAGTTTGATGACAATATCGAAATTTGTAAACCAGTATAAATAAAATTGTGCACAAAAGATGGTAAACTTGGTTATGCTCGAATAGAATTTTTGAAAACTTGCAACGTTATTGAGTTGCAAACACCCGAGCGAATGAGACAGGTATTAATTGATAATTATGGAAAATTTGTAAATTTCATAAAATAATTTTACAAATTTTTACAACATAAAGAGACGCTCTCGATCTGAATAAGTTTACAAGAATTTGGAAGCTAATTTTCCCTTCGAAATATTTGTAAAATTTAGTAAAATTTTGGAAGTTTAGGGATTTAACAAAGTTACCGGCCTGCGTGAATTTCCTCAATTTTTCCTCATTCAAATTTTATAAACGACGACTCAATTTTACCCCCAAATTTTTTTAAATAGAGCAATCTGCACTTTCTCCATCAAATTTCAAGCACTTTGTGTCAAAAAAAGGTCGTTGAAAAAAATTGTTACGATTATTTCTGTCCCCAGAATTTAATTGGATACATAACATTTCACTTTCTTCATGTCGTCATTCCCATCAATCAAATCAATCCAATCGAAACGACACGCAATCCACAACCAACCAACAAAGTGACAGGCAGACAGCATTTCCATCCAAGCAGCAGGTCGTTATGCTTTCCTTTCCCTGAAATTCCTTACCATCGATCATTAAGAGAAAGTCTCTGACCAACAAAAGTCAGGGTTTCTTAAAACACCGCCGTGTTGTTAAAGAAATTTATTTTTATTGGTTTTCTGTGTGAAATTGTGAAATTTTGGGAATTAACGAGTCCCTCATTAATTTAGTATTGCGTTCAGAAATATATAGTGATTTTAGTTTCAGAAATTTTCAATTCTATGTGAAAATTTATGTTTTCCTTTCCCTTCAATTCGTTAGGAGAAAGTCTGACCAAAAAATTTACAGGGTTTCTTAAAATACCATATTTTTTACGGAAACTTGTTTTACTCCGTCTTATAAATCTGAAAATTAACACATCACAGGTACATTTGTTAAGCAAGAATAAGTATTTCAAGAATATGGAAATATTAACAAATCCATATTTTGAAAAAAATATTTCAGAAATCTGGCCAATTTGTAAACACTTACACATGAAGAAAATTAAGGTCATGAAAAAGACAAACGTATATTTTTAATTAAGTTTAAATTACATCAGAAATATTTACTATGATTTTCTAAACTCTATATCAAAAATTAAAAAAAAAAATCACATTGCACATAACCAAAAAAAGACATTTCCCCCAAATAACATGAAAAACAAATTGCACGAAAAATTTAAGAAAACAGGTACGAAAGGAAACCCTGTGAATAGTGTGGATGGCAACGGTGAAAGTGAGTATGGGACCACTTTCACCATCTAATATTCATCAATATACGTACATATTTGTACCTCTGTCAAATAATGCAAGTACTTTCTCGTCATCCTCTTGTTATTGTCCTCATACGCATAATTTTTGTCCATTTTCGTTAACAAGAAGGAGAATAAAACACTGTAGCAATTCACGCAGCCCTTGGTAACTTTAAAAAATCCGTGGATTTTCGGATTTTGTAGCATAATTTTACAAACTTGTACAAAATAAACTTAAATAAAGAGACACCCTTCATCTGATCCTCGGAGATTTTTGTAAAATTTTGTAAAAGTTTACGGATTTTACAAAGTTACCAAGCATTGCGTGAATTACTTAAAGACGAAATGAGACGTTATCGAACAACCTGTAACCAGACATTAATTAAGCAAATTTACATCACATTATTTTTTATACGACATTATTTAAATATGCTCGTGGTTGGATTGTTTTAAGATTAATTTGTACTTATTAAGCTTTTAGGATAACAAGGCTACCATGAATTTTCCTTATCTAATTTGCAGTTAAAACTACATTATGAGGAAACTTTATTCTTATCGGCGTCAAATTGCAGAATTTCCTAAAAATCTGCTACAAATTTATAATTATTCCCATCCCCCAATTTTTGACGTTATGAAACCCATAGAAAAAGAATTACCTAAATGCTGCACTCGTTTTATGTTGAGTCAATTTTACACAAAATTTTCCAAATTACTTACAAATCAAGATACAAATCTTGAAGAAATTTGTGCAAATAAAAATCATGAAGATTGACATTTTTTTACGGAAGTTCTTTGAAATCTGGTTAAAAAATGGCATAAACTTTTTTACCTAAAAAGATGCATATGTAAGTAGCAAAATATGTACACACATGAAAAATAATCACATTGCGAGCATTAGTAGTTGTAAATCTATATTTATATCAAGTTTTCATCAACTTTTTAAAATCTGGTTTCTGGAATAAAAACGTGACAAAATTTTTCAAACCGTTTTTATAACAAGATTTAAAACTTAATTTTCATTTGATAAGAATTTAATCCGTAAATTTTCCTACCGCCTTTTTGACAAATTATGTTGCCCTCCTCGGTTAAACATTCCATGCACCACGACGAGGACACTGAGGCAATTCACACGGATCTTACTAACTTTATAAAATCCGTAAATTTCCTCAACTTACAATGCGATGGTATGAAGTGTAACCCTCCGATTTGGATGAAATTTCGAAATTACGTGGTTCATGTCAATACAACCAACGTTTCTTCCGGCATTTTGTGCGATGGTCAGAATTTGTCAAAATATTTAAGGGCAAAGTTGAAAAACGGGCGATTTTTTACCAGGCAGAGGTAGCAAACTCAACTTCCATTCTCTTCCCGTGCTAAAAATCGCCCATTTTTCAACTTTGACCTCAAATATTTTGACAAAGTCTGACCATCGCACAAACTGCCTCAAGAAACGTTGGTTGTATTGACATGGACCACATGATTTCGAAATTTTATCCAAATCGGAGGGTTACACTTCACACCATCGCATTGTTAGAGAATTTTATAAATATTTCTCATGAAAATTAGCTTCTAAATTTTGTAAGCTTGCTCAGATCAAGGGCGTCTCTTGATTTTATAAAAGTATGCAAATTTATTTTACAAAACTAATTTAAGGATTTTACAAAGTTCCCAGGGCCTGCTTGAACTGCCTCAATATTTGAATGGCTTGACTAATATATTTATTACCGCACCCGGTAATAAGAACGACATCCTCTGCTCAACCATATCTCCTCTATCCTTTGATCGATCCATTGATTTAAAACGCTTCATAAATAAAACAAACATTCGTTGCATTGAATAATGCAAATATTTATTTCAATATTTGTCTCCATGTTATGGTTTCATTTTCATTTTAATTCCATAAGTCAACAGAATTGGGTATGCAAACAGAAACAGTGTTTCAAAATGCTCAAATCTGCATGAAATCGCTTAATTTACTGCCAATCTTTTCCTTCATATGTTAAAAAATTCGGGGAAAAAATGATTTCATAAAATCGTATGTAAAACGCTCAGCTTTTCAGAATTTCATTCCGATATGGGGAACAAAAAATTGCAAATTAACATGTTTAATAAAATTGGAAAAGTTTATGAAAAGTTTATGAAAACAACGGAAAAAGTATTTCTGTAAGTTAAATTGAATTATTTAAGCACCATGTTTATAAGTCAATCTTGGAATTTTTTGTCAATTCATAAGCACGAAAAGCTGACAAGTACAAATTTCAAGGATTAATAACTCAATGCGTTTGAAAATTTCGATATTTTTTTTAAATAATTTGGGAATTTTGAAATCGCTTAATCCCGTGAAATTTCTAACAAGCGAAATTTTTTAGATGTGTCTGAGGGGTCAATTAATTTGAACACAATTTACTTATGGATGCAGCCACTGACAACTGGATAATCTGTAAAACATTT